TCCTACTCTCTGTGAAAAATCAATAAAATATATTTTTTTTAAAAAAGGGAGTGGTACTGCTTTCCCAGAACCCATCCACTGCAGAGCCCAAGTAAAGCTATTTCTAGCCAAACTTTGTCCAGATGTATACAATAAGGGCTTTTGACTCTTGGTTGGTAACTTTTCATCAGGGCTGTAGGAGGAAGATACCACAAGGCTACTTTAAAAAAATAAAAATAATAAAATAAAATTATATATATCTATAGATAGATAGATAGATAGATAGATAGATAGATAGATAGATATATGTATTTCAGAGAGGAAAGGAGAGGGAAAGATAGAAATATCAATGAGAAGAGAATCATTAGCTGCCTCCTGCATGCCCCCTACTGGGGCACCGAGCCCACAACCCATCAGGACTACTTTTTACTTTCACAGATGTGAAGTTATGTAGAAAAAAAAATAAGAATTTTAAATCCTCAATGCAATGGTTTTTTGTTAATTTTTAAAAACTGATTTGAGAGAGAAACATGCCTTTGTTGTTCTACTTGTTTATGAATGCACTGGTTGCTTCCTTTTTTATTTTTATTTCAGAGAGAAAGGGAGAGGGAGAGGGAGAGATAGAAACATCAATGATGAGAGAGAATCACTGATCGGCTGCCTCCTGCACACTCCACACTAGGGATCAAGCCCACAACCCAGGCATATGCCCCAACTGGGAATTGAACCTGGTTCATAGATCGATGCTCAACCACTATACCATGCCAGTCGGGCCACTCATTGCTCTTTTATGGTCCCTGACTAAAGATAGAGCCTGCAACCTTAACATATGGGGAGGACACTCTAACCAAGTGAGCTACCTGGCCAGGGCCTGCAACAGGGATTTTTAAATAAGCTATGAAACCCTAAGAATTTGATCAATGCAGTGCTGATAACCATTTCTACGAGTGGAAGGGAAAACAAGTCATTATCTGAGTGTAGAATCCAAAATTCCCCACTTAGGATGATAAAGAACATTATAAACTGATGAACCAAGGGACAGATATAGAGACAGTAAAGCAACAGGCAGACTAATTACAGTGGGGAGGGAAGGAAGATCTGGGGGAGATAATAGATCAACCGAAGGACTTGTGTACATGCATATAAGTACAACCAATAGACATAAAACTCTGGGGAGGAAGGGTATGTATGCGAGGGAGGGAGGGGGGCAAAAAAAATCAATAAAATATATTTAAAAAAATAAAAAATAAATTTAAAAAAAAAACAAATAAAATTGGAGAATTGACACTAAAAAAAAAATCACTCAAGGTGATAAAAAGGGCAGACATTGAGTAAAGAGAAATTTGCTCTGCCCTATAGATAGGTCAAAGGAAGCTACCTCTGATAATCTCTTATTATGGGAAAGGCCCCTGATTCTAGTTCTTTTGGGGTAAAGGGCTGGACAGACATTTCTCTTTTGCCTGAAGCCAAAAATTGTCTTTAGTTTAAAGTAATCTGCATACCACTGAGGCACATCTCAAGGTGGCTCATTCTGAACATCCATAATAGTAATATTAGTTAACATGGATTCAATCATTGTATATGCTATAGCACTTCCCATATTTTTTTTTCTTCTTCACAACGAAAAGAGATGTGTACTGTTATAAACCCATTTTACAGAAGAGGAACTGATTCATGGGAAAGTTAAATAACTTGATCAAAGTCACAAAGCAATAAATGGGATTCAACCCTTCACAAATATTGCTGTTCTTTAAAAGTATATGTATGGAAGTTAAATGTATTATTTTAACTTACATTGTATTCATTTATAAATATAAGACCATGGCCATTTCTTCTAGTATGAGTCTGAGTTTGATTATGAGAGTTGCTTATTTTTCATAAACTTGTAAGAACTATAATACATCCATTATAATTATCTGCTTTTTAAAAGAATTCAAAAATAATACAGTTGACTCTTGGTAACCACAATAATTTACCTGGCAGGAGCAGATACACATGAAAGTGCTTCAGAGTGTCCATTAAGAGAAAGTTCTCAGCACACCCTGTGCATTAGTCAGCATGTTTTATAGAAGGAAAAAACTACATTGATTATAAGAAGAAAAAAAGTTTTATTGTGCCGGCTGGTGTGCTCAGTGGTTGAGCATTGATTGACCTATGAACCTGGAGGTCACGGTACAATTCCCAGTCAGGGAACTTGCCTGGGATACAGGCTCCATCCCCAGTGTAGGGTGTGCAGGAGGCAGCCAGTTGGTGATTGTCTCTCATCATTGATGTTTCTATCTTTCTCTCCCCCTTTCCCTTCCTCCCTGAAATCAATAAAATATATATTTTTTTAAAAAATTCCCCACTTAATCCTTAGTTTGAAATAAACCAAGATTTCCACATCTCTTCTCCTGCCATATTCTACATAATTAACTTTTTCTAATTCATTTGTGGATCATAATAGACAATACACATCTAACAAATAATTTTTTTTAATATATTTTATTGATTTTTTACAGAGAGGAAGGGAGAGAGATAGAGAGCTAGAAACGTCGATGGGAGAGAAACATCGACCAGCTGCCTCTTGCACACCCCCTACCGGGGATGTGGCAACCAATGTACATGCCCCTGACCGGAATCGAACCCGGGACCTTTCAGTCCGCAGACCGACGCTCTACCACTGAGCCAAACCGGTCGACTCTAACAAATAATTTTATAAATGTAGGGCAGTATTAAATTTTTTTTTTCATTATTTCTCCCTCAAGAGATTTTTTAAACATTTCCCCCTAATCATTCGGTTCCCCCCACCTCATTAAATTAAATACTAAATAATAATGCCCTAACTGATTTGGCTCAGGGAATAGAGCATCAGCCTGCAGACAGAAGGGTCCCATGTTTGATTCTGATCAAGGGCATGTACCTTGAGCGATGTTTCTCATTGATGTTTCTAACTCTCTATCCCTCTCCCGTCCTCTCTCTATAAAAAAAATCAATAAAATATATATTTTTAAAATACTAAGTAATAAGATTTTATCTGGTAGGGCTGAGCTTTAGAGAGCCAAACCATTGTAATATCTAAGATTCTCACTTATACACACACACACACACACACACACACACACTCCCCAAGGGGTGATATTGCCCCCATTGGGAATACATGATTTAGTTGTACTTCCTAGAATATTCACTGTAGAAACTATTATTTACAGCTTTTCAATCTCTGCCAGAATTTCCTAAAATGAAAATTTAATTTGGAATACAAAGAGGAGCTTTTAAAACAAGGCAAAATCCACAGAAAGTTGCTCTTTCCCTCAATCCTACCTAAACTCTCACTCATGATCATATTTTGTGTATTCAAGGGCAGTGTGTGTTGTTGTTGTTTTTATTTTTATTTATTTTTAAATATATATTTTATTGATTTTTTTTTTTTACAGAGAGGAAGGGAGAGGGATAGAGGATTAGAAACATCAATGAGAGAGAAACATTTTATCAGCTGCCTCCTGCACACCTACTGTAGATGTGCCTGCAACCAAGGTACATAACCCTGACCGGAATTGAACCTGGGACCTTTCCGACACTCCATCCACCGAGCCAAAGCAGTTAGGGCATTGTTGAAACAAAATAGCCCTAATGGTTTGGCTCAGTGGATAGAATGGCAGCCTGTGGACTGAAGGGACCTGGGTTCAATTCCAGTCAAGAGCACATGCCCGGTGGCAGGGTCAATCCCCAGTAGGGGGCTTACAGGAGGCAGCCGATCAATAATTCTCTCCCATTGATGGTTCTCTTTCTCCCTCTCCCTTACTCTCTGAAATCAATAAAAAGTTAAAAAACAAAATAATAGGGAACTAATCATGTTTAGTAGTAGATGACTAGAATGAAAGCTATTAGGATAGCAAGACTAACACGGTGAACTGTGACTTTCTTTGCAAATAGGTACGCCTGCACTAGAGCCATGCAAGTCCTCAGGGCCTGCTTAGCTGCCTTCTAACTTTTCCCACTGCTCTAGTTAGATTTGTAAATTACCTGGGTCCCGATTTCTTAGATTTTGTTTCATTTTATTTCCTACAGCTGCCTTAATTCTTTGTGGAGTAAAGGAAATATACATGTTGCATATTATATTTATATACATATATACATATATTTGTATATATAGATCAAAAGAAGAACATTCACTCCTAGATTGGACACAAAGAGGGAGCTATCAGTTGACTTTTATAAAGCATTCGTTAATAATTAATTAGTTGATATACCTTAAATACTCACTGAGAGATACTTGAGGGCAGAAATCATGTTATATTGACTTATAACCATAACACAGCAAGAATAATAGTAGAAATGTAATCCAGATTTCCAAATTGAAAGTTGGAAATCAAAGGTTCCATGTTTCACATTAGTTTGAGTTAATCATACAAACCAAGATAAATTTCTTTGTATTTATTTTCCACAATGCTTAATTTTCACATATCTAATGTGATGGTCTAAACTCCCTATGTAGTATTTCAACAAGACACCAAATCCACAATTTTAATTTAGATTAATTGGTATTATACTTGCAGGATTGAAGTTATTTAAATTTTTTTACACCATAAAGGTATATTTCTATTTTCCTGCTGATACACATGGTCTTAAAAATAAGTACTCAGTAAAAATTATACAAAGACACATGCAGCAATATAAAGTGAATATGCTGTTTTCTTAAGGGAAGAAAGCATAAGATAAAATTTCAATACCAGAGAAAGTGCTTGTTTTGTGAAAAAAATGTTGTTAAGTTCTATATTATAATGGAATGTTATATATATTTTACTAAACCTGAAGGCACTCTTACATTTGTACAAGTTGGGTATCACTAGAATAAAGCAATGTGAGATTCATAAAAGAGGATAAATTTCTTTATCACTTCCTTTTTCTACTCTTGAAAGGCTGGAGTATGCTATAGGTCTCCAATGTTTTCTTATATTTTTCAAATCAGATGAAAATACTTTCAAAATGTAAAATACAGTTATCTTTTGTTCTATAAAACAGTGGAACATTGAAAGGCTTTAAAATGACAGGTCTTTTTGAATATTCCAAAGTGTGTCTGCACTCTTCTTTAAAAGCGCCTCCTCCTCAGAAGTCAAGTTAATTTTCACAATATCTGAGATACCACTTTGCCCCAAGATACAAGGGACACTGAGAAAGACTTCTTCTTTTATTCCATATAAGCCCTAAAAGGCAAAATTAGATAATTGTTCAGTTAACCTGATATGGAAAAGCAGCTGTGCTAGAGAGCTTCTTAAGAATAAGAATATACTGGAGAGACTATGGAGCACAATAAGAATCACTCAGAGGGTGGTTAAGTGATCACCGACAATACCAAGAGCATCCTAATGGCCTATGACCATGTGGAACTTGTGTTCAGTAACATGAATATCGTGCCAGAGGTCTCAAAGGGACCAAGAGAGGCACTGTTTACTTTACCCCTTCCTGGGTCATCCTTCTGTCTAAGGGGAAGGATGCCTGCCATGCAGTCCTTTATGATGTCATTTCATCTGATAAAGTACTGTAAAACCAAGTAGCCTGTGTTTGAGATACATTAAGAGAACAGTGAATTCAGAAGCAGAAAGTAGCTGAGAAGGCTCTGTTTTGTATAAATTGATGTTTACACCATGGTGTGCCACTGAGTTTGGACAAAAGATGCCATAGATGGCATCTCAAGTCTCTGGAAGTGAGCCTCCAATGGAACCTATGGGTATGGGCACTCTCTCCTGCCTAGCAGGGCCCCCACCAGTTGCCAATGGAATATACTTTTGCCTTCCAGGATACCTCTATCCACTGCACAAACCTGACTTCTATCCCGAACCTCCCAGGATGTACAGGGCCCATGACATATGTGTAATCATGGCCACTGTCCTATCTTGGGCCTACTGAAACATTGGTCTACAGTCCTAATGTTCCCTCCACTCCAGCAGCTGAATCCAAGGCCACAGAAGCAGCTGCTAGAAAGTCTATTAAAACCTGCACAAGCCGAAACTGGTTTGGCTCAGTGGATGAGCGTCAGCCTATGGACTGAAAGGTCCCGGGTTCGATTCCGGTCAAGGGCATGTACCTTGGTTGTGGGAACATCCCTGATAGGGGATGTGCAGGAGGCAGCTGATTGATGTTTCTCTCTCATCGATGTTTCTAACTCTCTATCTCCTTTCCTTCCTCTCTATAAAAGTCAATAAAAAATGTATTAAAAAAAAAACAAAACAAAAAAAACAACCCTGCACAAATTGGCTGGTTGGCATGGCTCAGTGATTGAGCATCAACCTATGAACCAGGTCATGGTTTGTTTCCTGGTCAGGGCACATGCCCTGTTGCAGGCTCTATCTCTGTGTAGGGCATACAACTGATCAAGGTTTATCTCTCATCATTGATGTTTCTATGTCTCTCCCTCTCCTTTCCTCTCTGAAATCAATAAGAAATATATTTAAAAAACAAAAACAAGCCGAATCCATTTGGCTCAGTGGATAGAGCGTTGGCCTTCGGACTGAAAGGTCCCAGGTTCAATTCCGGTCAAGGGTATGTACCTTGGTTGCAGGCACATTCCCAGTAGGGGGTGTGCAAGAGGCAGCTGATCAATGATTCTCTCTCATTAATGTTTCTAACTCTCTATCCCTCTCTCTTCCTCTCTGTAAAAAATCAATAAAATATATATTTAAAAAACAAACAAAAACAACAACAAAAAACAAACAAACAAGAAAAGCCCTGCACAACTCACACAATGCTTGCATGCTCATAAACTAGCCTCTGCCTCTCCCTACTACCCCTGAAAGATAAGAAGACCCAGTAGACCCCTCAGACCTCCATCACTCATTACTCTTTCCTACCCCACCCATGGGGTTGAGTGTAGGTGCAGGAGGTGTTGGAAAGGTCTTGTTCTTCCCCCAGGTCTTATTATAAAGTTATCAGGAACTAGAATTCAGATAAAGGCAAAGCCCCTTGATTCTAGAGTGGTGTCTCCCAGTTTCCCACAATAGCTCAAAGCCCACCAAGCTTCCCTCTCACCATTTCTGGGACTTTCCTCAGGAGCTCAGGATATACACCTTGTTCCATATTGCTGTAGTCACCCACAGAGGGATTCTCTGGCCACCTCCTCCACTGAAGTCCAGCTCCCTCATTTTGGTAGCCACTATATATTCAACCTTATGAGCTCCATCAGACCAACCACACATGTTCCTCTGCGGACCCCTTGCCAGGCTGTACTCACATTCACTCCACTCTGGTCTGTGCCTAGCTATGGAAGTCCACTGCCCCGCCAGACTGTCAGCCCACATTCCATACCCAGCCAGGCTCCAGCTCCAGTTACACTCACCTTCCCTTAACTTTCCCTGTACTTGGTCATTCTGTTGTCACCTCTCTGTAATTTTTGAAGTTTTTACATGAGCTTACAGATATTGGGTGGCATCAGAAAGAAGGTCACTAAGGCTGGGAAAGAAAGCCCTCTGCCAGGACTGGTTTGGCTCAATGGATAGAGCATCGGCTTGAGGACTGAAGGGTCCCGGGTTTGATTCTGGTCAAGGGCATGTACCTTGGTTGCGGGCATGTCCCCAGTTGGGGGTGTGCAAGAGGCAGCTGGTCGATGACTCTCCCTCATCGATGTTTCTGACTCTCTATCTCTCTCCCTTCCTCTCTGTACAAAATCAATAAAATATATTAAAAAAAGAAAAAAGAAAAAAAAGAAAGCTTTCTGCTTCCATGTCAGTGTTCCAGGAATTTGTGAATTTGTTTCCCTCTATTTCTTCTTGTTCCCCTCTCTTTCTCTTTCTCTCTCTCTCTCTCTCTCTCTCTCTCTCTCTCTCTCTCTCTCTCTCTCTCTCTCTCTCTCTCTTCTCTAGAAGGGGCTTCTCCGACTAGAACTGTAGAATGCATGCCCATCCCATCATGCCATTTGGGGGCTGCTGGTTGGGCTGAAAACAAGGGCCTAGACCCCTGGGGCCTTGCCTCGCCCTGTATGCTGACCATGACACAGCCTACCCTCTTCCTTTTGGTGGCCTGACCCTGCTTGCTTTTCCCTTCACCATGCACTTCCCATTACTCCCTTTCTCTCTGCATTTCAACAGATGACCTATTTTTTCAGATCCTCAAGTGTTCTCTGCTTATATCTACCTCCAGATCCTCTTGCAATGCTTTCCCTCTGCTTGTATAATTAATCCAGCCTTCCAAATTAACTCCTCCTCATTATTAGGATTAGGTCATTTTACTTCTTTGGGAAGACTTCCCTAACCATCAACTATGCCCCTCCCCAGAGTAGTTAAATTCTCTTCTTGTGTACACTTAGCACTTTTTAGTTTTTCTTCATAGCACTTAGTATAATTTATTATTAGATATGTTCTTTGGTAATTGGTTTATTAAATCCATTTTTTATTAACTTCTATGAGGGCAGGGTCTCTGTCTTTTTTGTTCACCATTATATCCTCAACACCTTGTATATGCCTGGCACACAGTAAGGACTCAACAAACATTAATGAGAATAAAGATCAATTTAAGCCTACCTTAACCATAGTCGAAACTGGATGCACTCTCCTAAGATTTTTCAAAATTGATTCTACCAGATTTGTCACAGATAGGCCGATAGCCCAAGAGGTGTACCCCTTCAGCTTAATAATCTCATAGGCACTACAGTTGTAGAAAGTAAGAAAATCAAATGAATGAGAAGTCAACTTAGAGAAAAAGAATATATTTCAAACATCCATTCTGAAGCAACTTGCAAATCAATGCCACTCCATTAATTTTTCTAGAAATCAGTTATAAGTAATACAAATTTCTCTACTACTCTCATAGACTTCATAATCACTTTAATAATTCACTCTCCTTTCATCATAAAGGCAGAATATGATAAGCACTCCATAAATGAAGCATATATGCCATTCAAGATGAAAATTACTTTTCAACTTTTTGTATTATTGCTTCTTTTTAACTTTTTTAATTGAATTTATTAAGTTGACACTGGTTTAAAAAAATTACATAGGTTTTAGGTATACAATTCTACAATATATCATCTCTATGTTATATTGTGTTTTATTATTATTATTTTTGGCTGTACTCACTTAATTTTTTTATTTAAATTATTATCTGTGTACATATTTTAACATTGCCCCCCCTCACATACTTACTCTCCCTCCCCAGAGTTTTGTGTCCATTGGTTGTACTTATATGCATGTATACAAGTCCTTCAGTTGATCTCTTATCTCCCCCAGATCTCCCTATATTGTGTATGTTGTATTATTGCTTATGTATCCAAACACAGAACCTGTTCACCTTGAAAGTTAGCATGTACATCTTGCTAGCCACTTAAAATTGTTACTTGGGTGCAATGTATACAATTTAAGCCATGTGCACATATTTTTCCTAAGAATATATCATTAAACCAGTTCATGATACATTTTCTTTATTTTTATTTATTTCAGAGAGGAAGGGAGAGGGAGAGAGAGAGAGAGAGAAATACCAATGATGAGACAGAATCATTGGTCAACTGCCTCCTGCATGCTCCACACTGGGGATCAAGCCTGCAACCTGGGTTTATGCCCTGACAGGGAATCAAACTATGACATCCTTGTTCATAGGTTGACGCTCAACCCCTGAGCCATGCTGGCTGAGCCAAGATACATTTTCAAAAGAAAATAACACAGTCCTAAACACTATGTATTTTTCATCTCAAACTTGTAAAATACACAATGCTTTTATTTTGTTGTTAAACCTCACCGGAGGATTTTTTTTTCCATTGAGCGAGAGTGGAAGAAACATCGATGTGAGAGAAACACATCAATTGGTTGCCTCCCATGTGCCCTGCTCATGGCTGGAAATAACCCCAAAATCCAGGTATGTTCCCTTGACCAGGAATCAAACCCATGATCCTTCAGTTCACAGGATCTAGCCACTGAACACACCAATCAGAACATAATTTTATAGAACATTTTTATAGAAACTTTAAAACTGTGTCAATCCACCAAGTTACTAATAGTGATTATTTTTTAGTGACAGGCTAACTAAAAGAATAGTTGCTATTCTTTTATTTTTTTAAAAAATATATATTTCATTAAATTCAGAGAGAAAAGGAGAAGGAGAAAGAGATAGAAACATCAATGATAAGAGAGAATCATTGATTAGCTGCCTCCTGCAAGCCTATAACCCGTGACCAACACTAGGGACCAAGCCTATAACCCGTGACCAACACTAGGGACCAAGCCTATAACCCGTGAATGTGCCGACTAGGAATAGAACTCAATGTTCTCCAGTGAACCATGCTGGCTGGGCTACTATTATTTTCTTTATGCTTTTCTGAGTATTCTTTTTTTAATGTATTTTATTAATTTTTTCAGAGAGGGATAGAGAGCCAGAAACATCAGCTGCCTCCTGCACACCTCCCACTGGGGATGTGCCCGCAGCCAAGGTACATGACCCTGACCAGAATCGAACCTGGGACTTTTCAGTCCACAGGCCAACACTCTATCCACTGAGCCAAACTGGTTAGGGCGCCTGAGTTTTCTTGTTGTCTACAATATATATGTATTACTAGAGGCCTGGTGGATGAAATTCGTGCGTGTGTGTGTGTGTGTGTGTGTGTGTGTGTGTGTGTGTGTGTGTGTGTATGTCCCTCAGCCAAGCCTGCACCCTCTCCAATCTGGGACCCCTCAAGGGATGTCTGACTGCCCATTTAGGCCCAATCTCTCTCACAATCCAGGACTGCTGACTCCCAACCGCTCACCTGCCTGCCTGATTATTCCCGAAACACTCCTCTGCAAGCCTGATCCACCCCCAAGTGCACTCCCCTGCAGGCGTGGTCCTCGCCCAACTTCCCTCAACTGCAGGCCTTGCCCTCCCAACTGCTCTTCCCTACAGGCCTGTTCCTCCCTAAATGTTTTCCTCTGAAGGCCTGGGTCCCCCCAAATTGTCCTCCTCTGCAGGCCTGATTGCCCCCAACTGCCCTCCCTTGCAGGCTTGGTCCCTTCCCAACTGCCCTCCCCTGCTGGTCATCTTGTGGTGGGCATTTTGTGTCCACATGGGGGTGGCCATCTTTGACCACATGGGTTGGCCATCTTGTGTGCTGGGCTGATGGTCAATTTGCATATTATTTCTTTATTTTATAGGCTATTTTTGTACTGCCACCAACAGTGGTCTCAGGTTTGGATTGACTCAAAGGAAAAGAGGTTTTAACATAGCACTGAGTTTACTTAGTTTTAAGAAAAGGATCCAGATAGGAAACAGGATGTACAGCATTATTATTCTATCAGGTTATCTAACAACCACCTACACATAATTTCAAGGCACCAGGACTGAACATAACATACTTGGTTGCAAAATATAAGACTGATGTGTAAATGGACCGCCTCAGCACATAACAGTTGGACTGTACTCATCGTGGTGTGCTAGGATTTGACTGTCAATCCTGAACCAGAGGTACTATTAGAATTCATGCAGACTAGTGTCAAATTAGAATTAGCTTTCAGATCAAGGCTCTGTGGGGTAAGTAAAAGGAAAGGGAGGAAGATTATGCCTAGAAAGTAATTAATTGATGGTATACAAATTGAAATCTTTGAATTGATAACTCAGGACAAATCTTATCAGTGGAATCTGGATGACAGATTTATAATCTCGGGAATTAACAAAATTGCTTGAGAGCCCTGGTAAGCTTTGCTCAGTGGTTAGAGCAGCAGCCCCCAGACTAAAGGGTCATGGATTCCATTTCCAGTCAAGGGCATGTACCTCAGTTGCAGGCTTGATCCCCAGTCCTGGTCAGGGTCCATGCAGGAGGCAACTAATCCATGTCTCTCTCTCACATCAAGGTTTCTCTGTCTCTTGCTCCTCTTTTCCATTCTCTCTAAAAAACAATGATAAAATATCCTCCAGGTAGGATTAACAACAAAAAATGGTTTGAGAGCTGAAACCGGTTTGGCTCAGTGGACAGAGCATCGGCCTGCGGACTGAAAGGTTCCAGGTTCGATTCCAGTCAAGGGCATGTACCTTGGTTGCGGGCATATCCCCAGAAGGGGGTGTGCAAGAGGCAGCTAGCTGATCGATGTTTCTCTCTCATCAATGTTTCTCTCTATCCCTCTCTCTTCTTCTCTGTGAAAAATCAATAAAATATATTTTGAAAAAAAAGAAAATGCTTTAAAAATAAAAAAATAAAAATACCCTAATTATTTTGTTAGGGATGCTGACCACTTTTTCCTTAGATTGTCAAATTAAAAAAAAAAATGACAACAGCCAACACAACCATAGCTGTCCAGTGTGAATGACTCAAAATTATACCTATTTTTTGCCAAATCGGCAAAAAATATTTTTTCATTTTTGGTGTACCACAGAATGGTAGTAATGTGTGCCATGAGATGAAAGGAATTAACAATCCCTGTGATCTGATTATTAGGGATTGGGCACACAAAAGACTAACACTGTGACATCCCTATAAGCAATAGGTGGACTGCTGCCTGACACTTGGAAATCAGTATTAGCTAAAACATGTTCCTTAGTTGGCTGTATTATGATTGTGCCTCCAGATCAGATTTCTGCATTTCTGGGAAATGGCATCTAAGGGTCCTGGTAACTGAAAACATATGGTCTATGGGTAAGGGACATTTTTGTTGAGAAGGATTGAAAATGATACTAATATTAACACATTTTGTCACCTAATTTATTAACAAAGCGTTTGTAGATTCCTTTAAGGAAATTTAAGAAAATAAATATAACAATAATAATGATCAAAGTGAAAAGATATTTTAGGAAATTGACCAAAAATTTCCGATTGATGCAATCTCTATGGAAACAGTTTGGCCAGAAGAAGAAATAAATGAATAAATTTGCTTTAAAGAGACTGAACACACAATTGAATGTGTCTACCAATACCTTTAATAAAGTACAAGTGACCCTATATATATATAATAAAAGGGTAATATGCAAATTGACTGAACAGTGAAAGACCAGTCGCTATGATGCACACTGTCCTCTGGGGGTCAGATGTTCAACACAGGAGCTGCCCCCTGGTGGTCAGTGCTCTCCCATGGGGAGAGAGAGGGGTGGGGAGAAGGGGGAAGAGCACCACTCAGCCAGAAGCAAGAGGGTGGACATCCCCCTAGGGGTCCTGGACAGTGACAGGGCAGGGGCCAGACTGAGGGACCCCCTACCAGTGTACGAATGTCATGCACCAGGCCTCTAGTAGTAAACAAAAGGGGAAAGTAAAGTAGTTCAATTAGTAAAGAATTACCAAAACAGCGCTAGCCAACTTGGCTCAATGGATAGAGTGTCAGCCTGCCGACTCAAAGGTCCCAGGTTCGATTCTGGCCAAGGGCACATGCCTGGTTTGCGGGCTCAATCCCCAGTGGGGGTCGTGCAGGAGGCAGCCAATCAATGATTCTCTCTCATCATTGATGTTTCTATATCTCTCTTCTTCTCCCTTCCTCTCTGAAATCAATAAATATTTTTTTTAAAAAAGAATTACCAAAACACCTTGAGAGATTCTAATTACCTTTTGATCTTAATAGATCCTGATAGTTATAGGTATACTAGCCTTTCATTTTCTATGTATAAAATATTAAAGACATGTTAGTCAAACAAACTCTGAGGGATATGTGATACAAAGATAATCACCCAAGTCATGGAGAGATATCATGAGTAAAAGGTTAACAGCAAAGTATGGACCTTTCAGAAAAGGCAGGAGTATCTGCGAAGAGGATCTTGAGTTTGCTTTTGCAAAAAGACACAATTTTTTAGGTTTAAAAATTTGTTAAGCACTGGAGGATTCTGGGATAATGGCAAAATAGGAAGCACTAAGATTCTCTCTCTACCTAGGCAATAATTACACTGCCAGAATCTGTCTCATATAACTCTATTGGAACTCTTAAGTTTTTTGAATGCTTGAAACTTCAGGATAAGGTTTGTACGGTAAGTTGTGGTTAATTTCAATCAATTTAAGCTCTTAGTTAACTGGACAGGGCTTCATTTAAGTTATATCTTAAGTACTCTATGATGTTTTCACAATTACCACCTAACAATGCATTTCTCAGTATGTATTCTCATCACTAAGCAGTGCATGACTGTAACTGAAATGAAAAATCCACTAGAGATTCAAAGGCAGATTTGAGCAGACAGAAGAATGTATCAGCTGAGTGAAATAAGCCAGTCACAAAAAGACAAATACTGTATGATTCCACTTATATAAGAGACTTAATTTTTTTTAAAGTCAAGAATGTTGGTTAACAGAGCCTGGGGAGAGAGGGAAGAATAGAATTGTCTTAGTTTACAAGATGAAAGAAATATGAAATGGATGGTGGTAATGGTTACACAATAATATGATTTTAATACCACTGAGTAAATTTAAAATGATTAGAGATGGTAAATTCTATGTTATGTGTAACCTATCACAATCACAATTTGAAAAAAAATAAATTAGTTAAAATTTTGGATAGTAAACATAACAGAGCTAGGTTATCAGCATTGTATATTATGTAACCCTTGATTTGTGCATTGCACCAGGACTAGAAAACTGAGAGCAAATATACAGATCCTGAGGGCTATGTGGCAATAACTGTATTAAAAACTACTGAATGTCAACTATGATTAAAAAAAAAAGTGTTGGTGCCTGTATAACTGGACTGACACCTGCTCTTGCAAGAATGTATAGAAGTCTCATTTTCACCATTAACAAAAAATTGTTGGATAACAAAAACAGCATCTTTCCTATGTGGGGTAATCTGCCCTTATCCCTTGCAACTGAGTGTGCCCAACATAGTGATTGGCCTGGAAGCTACACCTGAGCACCTGTAATAATCTCCTTAAAAATGCTAATACTCTATACTGTTTTTTTGTCCAATGTGCTTTCACCAAACTTGATGAACTTAATGCTAGGTTAAAGCTTATTATGCTTTGCTAACTTGACAGTTTGAACTTCAATACACTATTTATAGCCATGCACTTTATTTCCTTTTTTAAATTGTGGTAAAATTGTCATTTTAACCACTTTGAGTATTCAGTTCAATGGTATTAAGTATATAAACACTGTTGTATAACTATTACCACCATCATATCCAGAACTTTGTCATCTTCTCAATTGAAACTCTGTACAAATTAAGTTGATTACGTGATTTTATAATCAGAAAATATTTTTTTTTAAACTAAAAGGCATTTAAGAAATAAAAACTTTCCCATAATCACTTTTGCTATATTTTGTTCTTTTTTAGCCTCTTCCCTAATTTTTATACATTTCTGTAGAATTGGCATCCTAAATAAACATTACACTTTAGAATACCCAGAAGTAATTTTTAGGTTGTATAACTTTTACTAATATGTGACTTGGCTAAAGCATAAAGAAGAATCAGATGTGCTGTTAAAGCTGACTTTCAGAGTCAGACACTTCATTTATAAATACACACAATTAATTTCTGATCATCTGCATCAGCTTCATGTTGTTTTTTCATCATTTGATGAACACAAGTTCTAAGTGCTATTGTAAGCATTTTACAATATGATAAGCATTTTTCATTTACTCTGCATAACAGCCCTCTAAAGCGAGTTCTATTTTTATCCCCATTTTAAAAACTTAGAAACTGAGCTTCTGAAATTTTAAATAACTTTACAATATCACTCTACTTAATAAATGGTGAAGTCAGGTTTCAAACTTAGAAAAGCTGGTTCCAAAGTGCTCATAATTACTTGCTAAATTACCCTAAAACACATATGAGTGCTTTGTGAAAATGCCCCCAAATAAAGCTATGAGAAATATAAGTCTGAGTTCAAGGATTTTCATAAGATTATGATCATTTACCACCCAAAACTCAAAGATCAACTATATTTTTTTCTGTGGCATTTGTTCTTACTGTTATTAATGCATTAAGAAACTTAGTGAGTACTTTACCTCTCAACAACTTGTTTATGGATATTTTTCCATTTGTCCTTGTCTGAATCAGTTCCTAAGTTAGGGTTAAGAGTCTTCAGAGGAACACCAGCAACATTCACCCCACTCCATAAGGGCACTAAAAAGAAATGTATCTCAGAATGAACTCTTCTTCTTAGTACTGCTTCTGTTGTTTTAGTAATTTTTTACAAACTTAGATTACTACCTTATACCATATAATAAAAATAAGTTTTAAATGGCCAAAAAGGGAAATGTAAAAAATAAAATTATGTGTTAGAAAAATACGTAGTAGAATTTACTTATAACTATGTGGCATATGAGGCATTTTAAAGCAGAGCACAAGTACAAAATCTACAAAGAAAAGAATGGTTAAAAAGATAAAATATTACAAGCAAAGCAAGAAAAGAGCAACAAATTAACACCATACTTCTCAACAGTAACAAAGAGCTGAGGGGGAACTATTGTCAATCTAGAATCTCATATCCAATAAAGAATGAGGAGAAGCTGACGTGGCCAACTAGCACAGTTATTAGAGCATCATCCTGATACACCAAGGTTGTAGGTTTGATTCCCAGTCAGGGCAAATACAAGAATCAACAAAAGAATGCATAAATAAGTGGTACAACAAATTTCTCAATCAAATTTCTCAACAAATATATCCCTCTCTCTCAAGTCAATAAATAAAAAATGTTTGCCAGCCAGCATGGCTCAGTGGTGAGCACCGACCTATGCATCAAGAGGTTGCTGTTTCGATTTCCAGTCAAGGCATACTCCCCAGTTGCAGGCTTGATCCCCAGTAGGAGGCATTCAGGAGGCAGCTAATTGATGTTTCTATCTCTATCTGCCTCTCTCTTCCTGTCTCTCTAAAAATCAATTTAAAAGTAAATAAAAATATTTTTGAAGAAATACATTGTTTTGTTTTCAAATAAAATAATGAAATATTAAAAGTGAGAAATAAAAACATAACTAGGAAAATTTACTTTTAATGACTTCCAGGAGGAAGAACTGAATTAGTATAGTAACAAGCCAATAGGTCAAATTAAGTATTTGTCTAAGTCAAATCAAAAGTATTTATTATCATACCGCATCCTCTCACAATCCAAATCCCTTGAGGAATGTCAGAGAGCCGGTTTCAGCCTGATCCCTGCAGGCCTGGGTGAGGGACCCCACCAGTGCATAACTGGGGCTGGTGAGGGACTGTCAGAGGGCTCCAGGGCATGTCTACCTGTCTCGCCCCAGTCCCAATCAGTTGTTATGATGCACACTGACCACCAGGCAGTAGACGCTCCAACTGGTAGGTTAGCTTGCTGCTGGTGGTCAGTGTGCATCATAACAACTGGCTGAACAATCAAATGAACAGTTGGACACTTAGCATATTAGGCTTTTATTATAAAGGATGACATCTGTAGTAAAAAAACAACAGACAACTATAAGAAGGATTCATTAAATGCTTTGACTAAACAAATGAATAACTGAATCAATGACTAAACAAATGAATAACTGAATCAATGGTCCCTATTCTTTTTTATTTTATTTTATTTTATTTTATTTTATTGATTTTTTACAGAGAGCAAGAGAGAGAAATAGAGAGCCAGAAACATCAATGAGAGAGAATCATTGATAAGCTGCCTCCCGCACCCCCCCCCACTGGGGATGTGCCCGCAACCAATGTACATTCCCTGACCGGAATCGAACCCGGGACCCCTCAGTCCGCAGACCGACGCTCTATCCATTGAGCCAAACCGGTTTCGGCATTGGTCCCTATTCTTAATGGGTTTACTGCCACTATGGAAAAAAGATTCAAAGATATGATACAATTAGAGAACACTGTAAGAAGAATAAAGTTCTAATTGTGCTGCAGAGCTTAAATGTTTTAAGTTCAGAAAAGAAAAAAGTTGGTATGGCCTAAGTAACAGTTTAAGTCACAAATTATATAAATTTATTTAAATGAAAAGTCTGGAATAAGCAAAGCTATATAGTCAGAAAATAAACTAGTGGTTGCATGGGACTAGGGTGGGAGTGAGTTCAGAAGTAAAAGTTTCTTTCTGGGTAATGAAAATGTTCTATAATTAGGCTGTGGTAATGACTGCATATCTCGGTGAAAACCAGTGAATTATACATTTTAAATGGGTGAATTTTATGGTATATGAATTGTACTTTTGTAATGTTTAAAAAAATAAGGATAAATGAAAGTGCTCCAGCTAAGAGAAACCTTCATTGACTTTTAAAATAGTTATATGCTCTATGCACAATGTAATGAGTGGAAACTAAATCAATGATGCAAAAGACTGAAAATAAAAAAATAAAAAAAGATAGTGTATACCAGGGAAATACCAATAAAACAAAAGTTACACAGTTATATTAATATCACAAAAAAATACTTTAAATAGGCATCATTATAGATAAGTGTGATTACATAATGAAAATGGGTTTATACTTACCACTAGAATCACCATGTTCTCCAATAATCCAACCGTGGCAGCTAGTGGGATGGACACCCAACTTATCTCCAATCAGGTAACGGAAACGGGCAGAGTCTAGATTACAACCACTTCCAATTATACGAGTGGCAGGTAAGCCACTTAGCTTCCAGACCACATATGTCAAAATATCCACTAGGAAGAAAAATGTATTGTTACAAAAAGATTTATAATAACATCCTTTTACAGCTTGCTTTTCTGAATAGACAGATCAATTGTCTTAGTCAAATATAAATTTATTACAAAATTTGAAGCAAAGCAATTCAACAAGAAAATACTGATAATCTCTCATGTAGGTTTTAACAGGTTAAATTATTCACTATTAGAATTTTTTAATTCTTTTAAGATAATGTATGTGCCTATCTGTGTATTTTACAGTCGGTTAATTCTACATCAAGGCTGCCTAATTTTTTCCTATCACCATAGCCTCATCTAAGCTACCAACATTTCCTACCTAGACAAAAGTCACATGCATACCCAGGGCAGTTTGCCAGTGCGTGCATGCTCAGGAAAAACATGAGAAGATCCTAAGCTTAAACTCTGTATGACCTTGAGGCTCTGCACAAGCAGGAAGTTGTAAACTGGCCGAGTGTTGAAGGCATGCTCCAACATGCACACAAAGGCCTACATCAAAGACTGGGAGATACGTTTTGGTTCCACATTTTTTTAAAGTTCCATTCAATCATTAGCTGATCACTAAACAACAAACAGATGAAAGATGTCTTTGGCCAGGCACAACAAAGAATACAGACTTGCAGAATGAGTTCACAAAAATCATGAAATAAACAAAAGACAACTGCAACAAGCATCAACAACAACAACAAAATCCCTAGGAGAGAAGAATTTGATTTATACAGTTTTCATACTATAATTTTTTAAAATATATATTTTATTGACTTTTTATAGAGAGGAAAAGAGAGGGATAGTTAGAAACATCGATGAGAGAGAAACATCGATTCAGCTGCCCCCTGCACACTCTCCACTGGGGATGCGCCCGCAACCAAGGCACATACCCTTGACCAGAATCGAATCCGGGACCTTTCCATCTGCAGCCAACGCTCTATCCACTGAGCCAAACCAGATAGGGCATACTATAATTTTTTTAATGTTCAGTTTTTAACAAGAATTATGAGGCATGAAACAAAATAAAGAAGTTTGCACCAAAGGAAAAAAAAAGCATCAGTAGAAACTTAGAAAGTCCTAACATTGAACTAACTTATCTTCAAGTCTACTAACTCCTCCTTCCTTTTCAATCGATGTTAAACCCTTCTATTAAATTTTCATTTAACTTTCAATTTAAACCTATTTAGATTCTTTTTTAAACTTCTGTTTATTACTATTCAATATATGGTGAGACATATTTAGTTCTTTCGGCTTGGTTTGCTTTAGCTCTTTAAACATACTTATAAGAGTTGATTTAAAGTTTTTGTCTGAGCCCTAGCTGGTTTGGCTCAGTGGTAGAGCATCAGCCTGTGGATTAAAGGGTCCCAGATTCCGGTCAAGGGTGCATGCCCAAGTTGCAGGCACTCTTCCCAGTATGGGGCATGTAGGAGGCAGTCAATCAATGACTCTCTCTCATTATTGATTTTCTATCTCTTCCTCTCCTTTCCTCTCTGAAATCAATAAAAATATATTTAAATAAACAAAGTTGTGGTTTTTTTTGCCAAAACCGGTTTGGCTCAGTGGTTAGAGCATCGGCCTGCAAACTGAAGGGTCCCAGGTTCGATTCCAGTCAAGGGCATGTACCTTGGTTGCGGGCACATCCCCAGTGGGGGGGGCTGTGCAAGAGGCAGCTGATCAATGATTCTCTCTCATTGATGTTTCTAACTCTCTATCCCTCTCTCTTCTACTCTGTAAAAAAATCAATAAAATATATTTTTTAAAAAACACAAACAAAGTTTCTGATAAATCTTTGTTCAGTGACTCTAGCCAGAACTTCCAGCATGATGTTAAATGGAAGTGGTGAAATGACATCTTTATCTTACCTAGGTGTCATTAGCAGGGAGAAACCTTTCAGTCTTTCTCCATTGAGTATGATGATAGCTATATTTTTCATAAATATCTTTTTTCAGAATAATTTCCCTTTACGCATAGTTTACTGAGAGATTCATTTGTAAAATAATGAGTGGGTGTTGATTTTTGTTAAATGCTTTTTCTATATCTATTAACCTTCTGTCATTATGTAATATTCTTTTTTGTCTCTAATTTTTGCGTTACCCAAAAATAATCCACACCTTTATAGTAAATTAAGACTTGACAAAGGAGGCAAAATCATACAATGGGATAAAGACAGTCTATTCAATAAATGGTCTTAGAAAAATTGGACAGATGTGTGCAGTAAAATGAAACTAGACAACCTTCTTACACCATCCATAAGAATAAACTCAAAATGGATTAAAATGTATATGTTATATGAGTGGCAGCAGAGTCTGTGCACTGAGCCTCTAGTAGTAGTAGTAGTAGTAGTAGTAGTAGTAGTAGTAATAAACAAACTCTTAAGATAAAGGACCCAGTACATGCTCTTTCTCCAGAACCTGTCCATGCCTTCATTCTTCAGGCTTGTATCTTTGTTTTCTTTCTGTTAGGGTTCCTACAAGACTTGCAAATAAGGGAGTATTGGGCTCATCCTGGGCTAACCCCCTTCAATCCCCTTCTTTTGCCTCTGTAACTTGATTCCTGAGTTCACACAGCCCAGCTGGCTCACTTCTTCTGCCTCTGTGACTTTCTTTCTAAAAGGCCAAGGCAGCTCTCTGGCATTCTGCTCTAATCTTCTCTAAGTGTACTTTTGCTTTGCATGCTAAGTAAACTTCCCCTTGCGCTAGGGGAAAAAAAAAAAAAAAGGAATGGTCTGGAAAGACCATCTTTATGCAGTTAATGAAAAAAGACTTACCTGGATTTGAGACAACAAGTATCTTACAGTCAGGACTATACTTGACCAGGGAAGGAATAACTGATTTCATGATGTCCACATTACGTTGAACCAGGGAAAGACGACTTTCTCCTTCCTTTTGCCGTACACCTGCTGTGACAATAATTAATTTGGAATTTGCAGATACACGATCATCTAAAAGGGAAACAAAAGACAATATTTGGATCATGACTGCCATAATCATTGTGCCTTAATTCTTTAAAAGACTATTGTATGATCTTGGTATTAAAGCATTTATATATCCTCATGTCTAGCATTTGGAAATGAACAGACTTTCCATGTAGCAATATTATTTTGAATAACTTGAAGGAAGTCTTGTCACTATAACTTAAAAGTTTCAAACAGCTTAAAAAAAAAAAAAAATCAGCCAAGACAGTTTTGCTCAGTTGGTAAAGCATCGGCCTGTGGACTCAAAGGTCCCGAGTTCGATTCCAGTCAAGGGCATGTACCTTGGTTGCAGGCACATTCCCTGTGGGGGGTGTGCAGGAGGGCAGCTGATGTTTCTCTCTTATCGATGTTTCTGGCTCTCTATTCCTCTCCGTTCCTCTCTTTAAAAAAATCTATAAAATATATATTTTTAAAAAGATTAAAAGCCGAAGCCGGTTTGGCTCAGTGGTAGAGTGTTGGTCTGCGGACTGAAAGGTCCCAAGTTCGATTCCGGTCAAGGAGATGTACGTTGGTTGCAGGCACATCCCCGGTGGGGGGTGTGCAGGAGGCGGCTGGTTGATGTTTCTCTCTCATCGACGTTTCTGGCTATCTCTCTCTCTTCCTTTCTGTAAAAAATCAATAAAATATATTTTTAAAAAAGATTTAAAAAATAGATCTTACTATCTTTTTAAGCCGACATTTTCATTTGTTATTAAGGCCTGAGGCAATGCAAATCAACTCTCTGGCTTCTTAGAAACACTATATATCAGAAGCTTAAAACTTTGAAAATGCATATATCTGTTTCAGGATTCTAAGAGTAGGAATGTATTTATTTCTAATTAGAAAGGACAGGATTTGATCTACAAAAAACAAAACAAAACTACTTTCTAAATCTAATGATCAGCTATAAAACTGTCTCACCTATTAAATCCCTAATGATAATATGATATGATGCTCATATTCTATAATGAAATTTTTTTAAAAAATATTATATACCTTGAAGTTATTTATCATATGAATATCAAAAAAATTTAATTAGATAAAATTTGCTCTATTTTAAAAATTATTTAATGCTCTTTTAAAAAGAAAATTTGTTCAATTTTAAAGATTTGATTACATCTTTATTTACAATCATTCTTATCTTTCTAATGCAAATTATAAACCATAAACATTTTGTCTTCCCTCCCCCAGTAAAAATTTTAATTAGAAATACAACTTAGAAAGATGGCATTTCTTAGGCTGGTATGTGTTACTTTAATTTAAAATACTGTTTCTCCCTTCTATCAAGTAAAAAATCTATTAAAAAAATTCTCTCTCTGCACACAATCTATTCATTCTTTTTTTTAATATATATTTTATTTTTTTTAAATATACTTTATTGATTTTTTTTTATTTTTTTTTTACAGAGAGGAGGAGAGAGGGATAGAGAGCCAGAAACATGGATGAGAGAGAAACATCGACCAGCCGCCCCCCACTGGAGATGTGCCCGCAACCAATGTACATGCCCTTGACCGGAATGGACCTTTCAGTCCACAGACCAACACTCTACCACTGAGCCAAACCGGTTTCGGCAATCTACTCATTCTTGCTCAAAGACCTTGCTTGACATTGACCTTCCATAAACTTATAATACCTAACCAGAGAAATCCAAAGTAATCTGTCTCTCTTCTCACCAACCCCTCTCTTCCTCCCTTCTCCCCACCTCAACTTTTTTTTAAATTAAATTAATTATCTGTGTACATATCTTACCATTCTTCTCCCTCCCTTATATACCCTCCCTCCCCAGAGTTATGTGTCCATTGGTTGTACTTATATGCATGTATACAAGTCCTTCGGTTGATCTCTTATCTCCCCCAGATCTCCCTACCCTCCCCACTGTAATTTGACAGTCTGCTTGTTGCTTTACTGTCTCTATATTTATCTTTTGGTTCATCAGTTTATAGTGTTCTTTATTATCCATAAATGAGTGAGGTCATCCCACCTCAACTTTTTGAGGATACAGACATAAAAGCCTTCCATCTTCTTCAGTCATCTCTCCACAATTCAAATTGATTATTTGAAATACTGTGTCTAACAAACAAAGTCAAAGTGCATAACAAAGTAAAATATCAAATCTTCATAATCTGTCCCAAGATATTTTACTAACTTCATGTATAATTTTTGTCAGACTTTCCAGATGCCATGATTTATTAATGCTATCATCTCCATACTTATTACTTATTTTCCTTTTTAAATATAACTCAATCCTCTAAGAGACAGCAAATCATAATGGTCTGGAGCAAAGACTCTTGAGATCCAACCGCTTTTATTTTGACTTTGCCACTTCTTAGCTGTGTGACTCTGGACAAGTTTTTGCCTGTTTCTCTCTCAGTTCCTCACCTGCAAGACTGAGCGATTAATAGTTCTTTCTTTAGATGATTCAGTGAATCTATATACAGAAAATACTCAGAAGAGAATCTCGTACATATTAAATGTTCAATAGATGTTAGCAATTATTATTATTATATTTTTAATCAAGTACTTCTTTAAATACCAACTCCTCTGCTAGGCATCCCCTAATGACATCATTCATAAATACTACTCTCTTACTTCACTGAATTTTTATAGCACTTACTGCCTATAATTCTAAAATAGTCTTTATATATAGTGCCTTAGGTTTTCTTCCCATGGTATGTTGTATTTAAATCCTAAACTGATTCATAAGATCATAATAACAAGTTCTGATCTCATATTCCTCCCTTTCTTCCATAAAGATCTTAGCACCTTCTATGTTCCAGGCACTTGATGTCTGTGTTAACTATTGTACATATCAGAAAATTTAAAACATATGTGGATAATCAATGATGTCCCATTGTTCTTCCTCACTAGAACTTGCCAAATGTATTTTCAAAATGCTCTATTGTGAACTATATCATTCATATAGAAGAGTGTTTAAGAAATGCATGATCAATTTTTAAAACATTAAAGTTAACAACACTGTAAAAATCATACAAATTAACAGACCACCACCAATATCTCGGTGGTGTATGCTTCCAGGGTTGCACCTACATCCTTCATATTCAGAAGTTACCATTCCTAAGTGGTGAAAATCACAATATTACCTTTTTAAAAAGGCTTACCACCAATGCCTATTTGTTAAAATATATTTGCATTAGTTTCATACAGGAAGGGAGAGTGAGAGATAGAAATATCAATGGCCAAAGCCGGTTTGGCTCAGTGGTAGAGCGTCGGTCTGCGGACTGAAAGGTCCCAGGTTCGATTCCGGTCAAGGGCATGTACCTTGGTTGAGGGCACATCCCCGGTAGGGGGTATGCAAGAGGCAGCTGGTCGATGTTTCTCTCTCATCGACATTTCTAGCTCTCTCTGCCTTTCTCTCTGTTAAAAATCAATAAAATATATTAAAGAAAAAAAAAGAAATATCAATGATGAGAGAGAATCATTGATCGATTGCTTCCTGCACACCCCTTACTGGGGATTAGCCTGCAACCTGGGAATATGCCCTAGACTGGAATTGAATTTAGGACCCATCAGTTCCCAGGTCAATGCGCTATCCACTGAACCAAACAAGCTAGGCCACCACCGAGGGCTATTTAAACAACATATTAAGTTTTATGTTTTGGAATCAGATTATTTTAGCTAATTATTGTGCTTCTGATATTCATCCATGTTAATGCATGTCCTTGTAGTTCATTCACTTTCACAGTTCTGTAATATCACATTGCATATTGTGTACAACTTAGTATTAATATTCATTGAATTGTTTCCAATTTGGAACTATTACAAATTACACCACTATACAATCTTGTTCATGTATCCTAGCCCACATGTATAGTTTCTCTTGGGAATTTATCTAGGAGTGCAATTTCTGGGTTGTGGGATATGTTCATGTTCAATTTCACCAGGTAATAGCAAACTTTTTTAAAAAGTGGTTTTACTATAATATACTCCTACAAGAGAGCACCTATTGTTCATATGCTGACATTTAGTTTTATCATACTTCTGCCAATCTAATGGGTGTGTAATGGTATATTGTTATGCTTTTATTTCCCTTGCTTTCATTACTAATAAAATTGTCTTTTCATACATTTATAGACTATTAGTTTCTTCTTTTGTGAAATGTTTGTCTTTTCCCATTTTTCTACTGAGATCTGTATATTTACCATTTATTATACAAGTACTTTTAAACACACACACACACACACATATATATATATATATGTATATATGTGTGATTTCAGAGATGAAAGGAAAGGGAGTGAGAGATAAAATATCAATGATGAGAGAGAAAAAAATGATGAGAGAGAACCATTGATCAGCTGCCTCCTGCATGCCCTACACTGAGGATTGAATCTGCAACCCAGGCATATGCCCTGACTGGGAATCAAATCGTGGCCTCCTGGTTCATAGGTTGATGCTCAACCATTGAGCCATACCAAGTGGGTTATACAAGTACTTTTATCTGAATACTATTCCTTAAGTCAGTTATGTTGCAAATATCTTCTCTCAGTTTATGGCTTGTTTCTTCACTCTTTTACAGTGTCTTTTTATAAACACAAATTCTGTATTCTTTCCTTTATTGTTTGAGCTGTGTCTTTGTCTTTACAAGATTTTGCCCTACCCTGAGGTCATAAAGATAATATATTATCTTCTAAACAGAAGCTTTCAAGTATTGCCTTTCACATTTTGGTTTTTAACCAAGCTGGAATTAATTCTTGTATTATCAAAAATGGTTCAATTTTCTTTCTATGAAAATAACCATTACCATAAATTTCCCGATGATATGTTTATTGACAACATGAGTGTTATATAACAATCTTTTGTGTGTTCTGCATTCAATTAGTGTAGGTTTACATTTAGAATAAGCCTTGATATCTGGTAAAGTAAGCTCTCACCATCTTCTTTTCAAGAGTATCTAGTTGACTGCACAGCCCACGCTGCTATCACGGTGAAGCTGAGCACAGAGGTCAAGCAGAGGGTGCAGCAGCTCTTAAAGTGTGTCCAGTTTGCCATCCATTGCATCTTTATTCAACCCATGATTTACTTGGGGATTAAGAGGGGTGCAGATCCTGGAATGCCTAAATCAACTATTTTAAATTTACTCTGAGGATATGGTCATATGGATTTGGAGGCAATCAATAGACAGGAACAACATGGAAGATTTGGGCTCCAGCTGGGACAAAAAATGGAACATCATTCAGACACTCACCAGTTAGATGGTACCAGTTCTTACTACACAGATGCATCTGGAGCAGATTTTTATGATAGACTGTATCAAAATAAGTATTTTTAAAATGTGTTTTTTTAAAAAAAAAAAAAAGCACCTTGTCTAGGCCAGTCTTGGATCTCAATTTCTGAATGAGATTTGAATAGATATTACATAATGTATCAACTAAATTGGTAATGTTTCACTGGGATGCTCTAATGTTTGTTATACTTAAACTCTCTTTACATTTCAAAATTAACATTTTGAAGTAATTGTTTCTATGAATATTAATTTGAATGTCTTAGAAAAACAAGGTTGTTCTAGGAGATTGTCAGTTCAATTCCTGGTCAGGGCACATGCCTAGGTTTCAGGTTCAGTCCTGATCAGGGCATGTGTGAGAGACAACCAATAGATATTTCTCTCTCTCTTCCTTTCCCTACTTCACTAAAATCAATAAAAACATTTTTAAATTGTCCTTTTAAGTATAAGGAAAAATAAAAGTGAAGGAAAACCATAAAAATTTAGTAGAGCCCTGGCTGGGTAGCTCATTGATTGGAGCATCATCCCGTACACCAAAAGGTTACAGGTTCGAATCTTGGTCAAGGTACATATAAGAATCAACCAATGAATGAATAAATAAATGAACAACAAATCAATGCCCCTCCCACACTCTCTTACTTCCCTCTCTCTCAAATAAATAATTATTGTAAAAAACACTAAAATTAACCTTTTCCACCAACAATCTTTGAAGTAGCAAAGAAAAGACTGCCATGCTGAAGATCCATCAGTTCTCCCTTCAACTTGTCCTCTGCGATGTCAACAAGGGCGAGTTCATCAGCCATATCCTAAAATACATTAAAGTTACAAATAAGATATTCTGGAAAATGTTCCTATTTTAGAAGAATGAGAAAAAGTTGTGTGTGGCTATTTTATACTCAAAGGAGAATTATTTTTTTAATAGAAAAATTATATAAAAATTATAGTTTTTTAATATGCCCAGAATGGGCAGAATCAAGGTAAACAGCAGAATGTAATAAAAATTCATTGTTTTGCCTTTATATACATGTTAATTTTGTTAGAATTGGGTTTCTTTCACTTCAGATAACAGTTTAAAACCAATGAAAAGTTGCCCTGGTTGGCTAACTCAGTTGGTTGGAGCATGTCCAGATACATCAAGGTTGTAGTAAGATGACACGGTCAAGGCACATACAAGAATCAACCAATCTATATATGTCAGAGCCCAGCAACCGAATGGCCAAAGGACCACAATGACCAGTTGACCAGTTGCTATGATGCACACTGACCACCAGGGGGCAGACACTCAATGCAGGAGCTGCTCCCTGGTGGTCAATGTGCTCTCACAGTGGGCGCGCCATGTGGCTGACAGGCATGAGCAACATTGGGTCCTTGGGGGTGTGGCCAGCCTGAAAACCACCACAGGCCCCTCGCTCAGGCTGCCCCACACCCCAAGGGAACCCCGACTCTAATCTGGAACATCCTTCAGGGCAAACCAACTGGCCCCACCCATGCACCAGGCCTCTATGCTATCTAATAAAAGAGTAATATGCAAATTGACTATCACTGTAACAAGATGGCTGCTCCCATGTGGACATAAGAGGCCAGCAAGGGAGGGAAGTTGGGAGGGACTAGGTCTGCAAGGGAGATCAGGTCAGCAGAGGAAGGCAGTTGGGAGGGACCAGGCCTGCAGGGTAGAGCAGTTGGGGGGTGGGGAGGAAATCAGGCCTGCAGGGGAGAGCAGTTAGGGGTGACCAGGCCTTCTGGGGAGTGGTTAGGGAGTGATTAGGCTGGCAGGCAGGGGAAAACAGCCTGGCAGGGGAGTGGTTAGGGGGTGATCAGGCTGGCAGGCAGAAGTGGTTAGGGGCAATCAGGAAGGCAGGCAGGCGAGCAGTTGGGAGTCAGCAGTCCTAGATTGTGAGAGGGATGTCCCAGACTGAAGAGGATGCAGGCTGGGCTGAGGGACACCCCTAACCCCCTACCCCCCGTGCATGAATTTTGTGTACCAGGCCTCTAGTAAAACTATATAGAAAGAGTATATTCCCTTAGATTCCAGTGGCCAGATTCCAAAGATGAGCAATAACGAAAAAGGATACAAGTCCTATTTATTAATATTTTCTTTCTCAAATCAAGAACCATGTTATCTGACTGGACAACTGTAAATACTAAAATTTACTAAATTATGTATCACATATCAGGAATAAGAGGAGAATAAGGAGTTTCATCCAGACGAATGTAACTTTTGGCTAGCTGATTTTTATAAAATATATTTTTATTGACTTCAGAGAGGAAGGGAGAGGGTAAGAGAGATAGAAACATCAATGATGAGAGAGAAATCATGGACCGGCTGCCTTCTGCACGCCCCCCACTGGGGATCGAGCCCACAACCCACGCATGTGCCCTTGACCAGAACCGAGTACACAGGCCACGCTCTATCCATTGAGCCACACCAGCCAGGGCTAGCCGATTTTTTAAAAACTAAAAGTTTACGGATCTATTTTTCCATCGATCTATATGGATCGGTCTGGGTCTGAAACAGGTAAACAGAAACCATTCTAAGCATTTCAATGGAAGGGATTTGATATAGAGAATTGTTTAGACAGATGTTGGCAGGATGAAACAAGATAACACTTGAGATAATCCAAAGATTGTAACCACAGTTTGAAACGACCACCCCTAAGGCTGAAGGCGCAGAAAGACTACAAACAGGTGCTGTCAATTGATTAGCCCTGCAAACCTGAACTCGTCTATTGACAAGACCTGAAAGGGCTTGATCTTCAGCCCCAGAACAGGCGTGTCGCTTACTTACCTTCAATAAGATACAGATTGCACAAGCCATGCCTACCGCACCAACCCCAACCACGGTGATCTTCTGATTGGAGGTTTTATCTTCCACAACCAGGTTCTTAATCAGCTGCTCCCTGACCGTTGACATTCTGAGAACCTGAGAGCGATAACGCAGTTTCAGTGGGATCGAACTCCCTGAATAACGCTCATGGCTAGCGAAGTCCTTAATCACACTGAACTAAGAAACTACCGCTTGAGTTTGCACCAAAGGGGGAGCCAGGATTGAGGGGAAGCAAAAAAAAAAAAAAAAAAAAAAAAGAATATCCAGGTCACGGGTGTGGGGAGGCCGTAGGGGCTGAGCTCTCCCTGCCCCGGCCACCATTGTCGCCCCAGGGCCAGATACTCACAAACGCTCTGCTCTGGGCCACTCAGTACAGACCCCCCGGAGGCGTCACACACAGCCTTTAAGGCTGTTTGAAATAGGGACCCCGGAGAACAGCACCCTCGGCAGTTGAGGTGCGAAGCCCCGCTACGGTTACTCCCCGCCCGACGCACGCAAGCACGCTCCGCATACGTCAGCACGCAGGCCCCGCCCCCGCCGGCCGGCGCAGGCGCATTGGCAGACGCTCGGTGTCCTCTCGGTGGGAGCTGGTTGCTTGGGTGTTGGGTGCCTGCAGGTACATCCTCCTGCTGTCCGTGTGAAGACTTAAGAGACGATCTTGGAAAGTGTGCAATCAAGGTTATCGGAGAGTTGTTTCGTTTCCTTCAGGCGGCCTGGGACGGATTTTTGGGCCTTGGCTTTTTGGAGATCCTACTACCACCCGGCTAAGCTCTCCAGGCCCCCATGGGAAAGAACCCTCCTGGGAAGCACCTCCTGTTTTTAGGGTTTTGCCAGCTTAAAGCAGTCAAGTGTCTTTATTGGACTTTGGGAGTGACCATGCTGACTTTGAGGAACACACATGTTGGTGTACTTTTCACACCTATATCCAAACATTCATTTGCAGGAATTTTAAAAAATTATTAAGCTATGTAACTTCAGGATGGAGTGCTGAAATAATGTTTGAATTTCTCTTGCGAGAGTAGAGGGTAATCATGAGCATGAGCTCAGCGGTGTGGCTCAGTAGTTGAGCATCCACCCATGTACCAAGAGGTCACTGGGTTGATTCCCAGTCAGGGCATAGGCCCAGGTTGCAGGCTCATTCCCCAGTGGGGGGCATGCAGATGATAACCAATGGATGTTTCTTTTTTTAAATTTTTATATATATATTTTATTGATATTTCACGGAGAGGAGGAAGGGAGAGAGAGAGCTAGAAACGCCGATGAGAGAGAAACATCGACCAGCTGCCTCTTGCACATCCCCCACCGGGGATGTGCCCGCAAACAATGTACATGCTCTTGACCGGAATCGAACCTGGGACCTTTCAATCTGCAGACTGATGCTCTACCACTGAGCCAAACCGGCTTCGGCTGGATGTTTCTTTCTCATCAAAGTTTTTCCCTTTTCCTTCCTCTTTCTCTAAAAATCAATAAAAAATGTGTTTGTTTTTTTTGTTATTTATTTATTTATTTATTTATTTATTTATTTATTTATTTATTTATTGTTATAAAAGAAGCCCTAGCTGAGCCTGCGAACTTAAGGGTCCCAGGTTCGATCCCAGTTAGGATTGATTCCCAGTGGGGGGACCTGCAGGAGGCAGATGATCAATGATTCTCATCATTGATGTTTCTATTTCCCTCTCCCTTCCCCTCTGAAATAAAAAATATATATGGCCATGTTTAATTTTCTAAGAGTGATTTTAATTTATTACACAAAGGGTCACAACCTCCTGTGTCATTTTTTGTCATTTGTATTTGAATCTTTTTTCAAAATCTAAAGGGTAATTCATTTTCTGTATCAAAGCCTATGATTAGTATAGTTCAGATCATGCAAAAACTCTGCTTAGAGCCCTTCAATAGCTTTCCGTCATACTTAAAAAAGAAAATTGCCTTGGTTTGTGCAGCTCAGTTGTTTGGGCGTCCTCCTGTTGCGGGTTCCATCCCCTGTTTGGAGGCATGCGGAAGGCAGCCCATTGATGTTTTGCTCTCACATCACTGTTTCTCTCCCTCTCCCTCTCTCTCTAAAAAAAAGGGGGGGGGGGAAATAACTAATTTTTACAACCTATGATACATTAAATATTTGGCCTCCTTACACCTCTGCAACTTCTTCTTAGCACACTCTTCATCACACTCTCCGCCCAGCTTTTTCTTTTTTTTTTCTTTTTTTAAATAAATCTTTATTGTTTATATTGTTACAAAAGTTCCTCATTTTTTCTCCCCTCCACCAGGTTCCCACCCCCCCCCCTCTGCCCTTTCCCCACCCCCCATTGTCCTCATCCATAGGTGCACAGTTTATGTTCAGTCTCTTCCCTCACCCCCACTCCTCTTTTCCCCAAGAATCGTCAGTCCACTCCCCTTCATTACCTCTGACTATTATATTCAACAGTTAATATTGTTCAACAGTTAATATGGCTGAGAACTTCTTGCTGTTCCCTATATATGGAAAGTTCTCCCTCAGCCCTTCTCAACGTTGATTGTTCATTTTTAGTTTTGAGCATATACGCCACTTCCTCTAGATTTCCTTGACCAATGTGTCAACTACCACCGCCTCCCTCCTCCTGTTCCTCTTAGGGACTTTAACCTATTGCCAGCCCCAAGCAAGCAGTTTCTATGGTGAGCAGGAGGGGCAGCTGTTGTTGATCCTCTACTACACTTACTTGTGTGCTTCCACAGCAACTCCCTGCCTTTGAACCTCACTTCCGTGGGGCTCAGAGGGAGACACTGCTGGCCTAGGTGACCTCCAAATCTAAGCTCTACATCTGCTTCCTACCCCTGCGACCAAACTCCTGTTCGGACTGAAGAAAAGCTCTTCATTCTTACCCTAGGGGCATTGGCAGGAGCCAGACATTCTCTCTGCCTGAGTGGTTTTCTCTGGTGGCTGTGAGCCAAGCTAACTTACCATTTTGTTACTAGAGAGCCAAATACGCAAGATTTTTGCATATTCCCACACCTACCAAAGTAGGCGCTCTGCAAAGGATTAGAAAGAATATGGTTTTGAAGTCGTGATAGTTTTCTCAATGTAGATTTTAGTGGGGGAAATATCTGCACACATAGAGATAGGCATATCATTCTATATGAAAGGAGGACCATGTTGTGAACTTTCCATTCACACTCCCTTCCTCCATTAACAGGCAGTTTGTGTGAGATGGCGGCTAAGACCTGCCTAATCCACTTCACGAGGCATTAAAACTAAAATGAGATCATATTCCATTAAAAAGACTCAGAACTATTCCTTGCCTGGGGCAAAGACACAATGTGTGCCTGGAACACTTACTGTGCCAGAAAGCATGGGAGTTTAACAAGATTAAATCTGGAAAAAATCTATATAAGTTTAACAAGTGTCTCTTAAGCATTATTTTTCAGACATGTTTGTGTTGAATGGCAACCTTTGAACCAGATCATGGTTTGATTACCAGTTAGGGCACCTGCCTGGGTTGCGGGCTCAACCCACAATAGGGGCGTGTAGGAAGCAGCTGATCAATGATTGTCTCATCATTGTTTCTCCCTCTCCTTTCCTGTCTAAAGTCAATAAAACATAAAAATAGCCGAAACTGGTTTGGCTCAGTGGATAGAGCGTCAGCCTGTGGAATGAAAGGTCCTGGGTTCGATTCCGGTCAAGGGCATGCACCTTGGTTGCAGGCACATCCCCAACAGGCACATTCCCTCTCTCTTCCTGTTAAAAAATCAACAAAATATATATTTTTAAAAAATAAAAACAAAAAACAGTAGTCCCTCCACTTATCCAGTTTTGCTTTCCATGGTTACCCATAGTCAAATGCAGTCTGAAAATGTTAATTGGAACATTCCAGAAATTATTCATGTTTTACACACCATCCTGAGTAGCATGAGGAAATCTTGTGCCATCTGACTTCATCATGCCTGAGCCACGATAATCCCAGTGTGATTACCCACATGGTACACACTACCCACCCATTAGTCATCTAGTAGCCATCTTGGTTATCAGCTCAACTATTATATCGCAGTGCTTATGTTTAAGTAACTCTTATTTGACCTAATGCCACACTCATAACTTTTTAGTCTTGGTTTAAATTGTTCTATTTTATTAATTCCTTACTGCTCCTAATTTATTTATTTCTAATAAATTTTTTTTTTACAGAGAGGAAGGGAGAGGGATAGTTTGAAATATTGATCAGCACCCTTCTTAACACCCCTTACTGGGGATGTGCCCTTTACCAAGGTACATGTCCTTGACTGGAATCGAACCTGGACCCTTCAGTCCACACAGTCCTATACTCTATCCACTGAGCCAAACCGCTCAGGGCATTGCTCTTAATTATAAATTAAACGTTATCATATTCCATATATATGATTTAAAAAAATGGTATACATAGGGTTTGGTATTGTCTGTGGTTTCAAGCATCCACTGGGGGTCTTGGATATATTACCCATAGATAAGGGGGTACTGTAGCATTATGTTACTGGTCTCCGAAAACAAAAATTCTATCAAGTTGTATCTTATGTAATACCTTTGGGCTTAGTATATGAAAATAACTGATTAAAATGGAAATGGTGCCGAGACCGGTTTGGCTCAATGGATAGAGCGTCGGCTTGGGGACTGAAAGGTCCCGGGTTCGATTCCGGTCAAGGGCATGTGCCTTGGTTGCGGGCATATTCCCAGTGGGGGATGTGCAAGAGGCAGCTGATCGATGACTCTCTCTCATCGATGTTTCTAACTCTCTATTTCTCTCCCTTCCTCTCTGTACAAAAATCAATAAAATATATTAAAAAAAATAAATAAATAAAATGGAAATGGTACCAAAAGAACCTAATCAATCTAGCCACAGCCCTTATCTGTTAATTCAGATTAAAGTCTGGTCAATAGTAAACATCCCTTAAAGAAAAAATCATTGCAGCTTAGTTGGTTAGAGCACCATCCTATTACACCAAGGTTGTGGGTACATTCAATGCCCAGTCAGAGCACATACAAGAATGAACCAACAATGAGCATATATTAGAACAATAAATAGATGTTTCTTTCTCTCTAAAATCAACCAATAAATAAACAAAAATCATTGCAGCTGCTCAGGAATAACGAGGTAGCTCCCAATAATGCAATGGATTGTAGCTTTATGATTTTATATGGAAATAAATTAACAGAGTAGTCACTGTTCAAGGTTTATTTGGCATTTTAGTTGGTATGACACTTGGATAGTTGGCTGTATTATTTATATGTAGTCTTTTCTTTTTACATTATATGGCAATGTACACTAATCTGATACATACAGTATACAGAATAAGATCCTGTAGGACAGTTATGCACAACATGCAATATTGGATTTACATTGGATCCCAGGATGTGACTGATTGGAGAAAAAGGAACACATTATGTAACACACAGTGAACACACATCTAGACTGAAGGGCAACTGTAGTGTGAGCAGCATTGGCAGTGGTGCCTTCAAGGAGGTGGAACTATTTCACACTAACCAGTTTAGGACTACACAAGATAAGGGCCATCCAGCATCAGGATGCAGATGCTGGGTTCTATGAATCATTACTATCTCTATCTTTAGGAAACTGATGTTTAGTCACAGATCAGGTAAAAAGGACAATAAGCAATCTCCAACTAAAATCCTGCTGTAGCCTAGACAGTGAGGTGGTCTGACATTAGAATACTTTAAAACTGCAGCTCTTTCTGGATCCCCCACAGTGTTTCTGCACTCTTCTTCAAACGGGCCTCTTCCTCAGATGTCAGAGTCACCTTCACCACATCTGAGATTCCATTCTGTCCCAATATGCAAGGAACACTAAGGAAGACGTCATCTTTTATTCCATAGAGACCCTGAAGACAAAACGAAAAATATTGGTTTTTTTTCTATACATTTTGGGTCTCCCAAGACTTTCATTCTCTAGAATTATGAAACTTATTTGATATAAACGAGTAAGTAGAAATTCCCTTCCAAATTTTCAGTTAGGATGTAATGAACAGTGTAAAATGAAGTCATTAAAATTGCAGGAAGATTTCCATTCTAGATTCTGGCCAGATTGCTCAGTTGATTAGAGAATCATCTAGATATGCTAACGTTGCTGGTTTAATCTCCAGTCAGGGCACATACAAGAAGCAAGCAGTGAGTTCATAGATAAGTGGAATAGCAAAAAATGTTTCTCTTGCACTCTCTCTGAGATAAATAAAAAAAAAAAATTTAAATTGTATTCTAAAAGAAAATCTAAACTATCTATTGCTATTATCACAACTACTTTCCAATTTTTACTGTATATGTATAACACTTTTGGTAACTGTAACTTGAGTGTGATTTCCATTTTTCCCAAAAGAAGAAATTCTGTTTCTTTAGTCTTCCACACATTTGAACATAACTGAATAGATTTTAAGTCAACAAATTATTGAATATCTATGTGCTAAACATTGTGCTAGTGTACATTAATCTTAATGCTTGCCCATGTTTCTTCCAAAAAAGAAAGTTGCAGGTGTATTAATTTCTTAAATCAATAACTGTGGATGCACATTAATCTAATTGCTTTCTCAAAAGAAATCGTTTTTTAAAAATGTAAATAATGACATTCAAGTACAACATATCACTACATAGACCTACCTTAATCATGGTGGAAATTGGGTGCACCCGCCTAAGATTCTTCATCATACTTTCTGCTAAATCTGCCACAGATAGGCCAATGGCCCAGGATGTATAGCCTTTCAGTTTGATCACCTCATAAGCACTGCAGGATAGGAAATCACAGGGAAGGGCAAGAAAAAATAAGTAGAAGAAACAAACAAAAACAATACACAAAGTGAACATAAACTTTATAGTGAATGAGAGGACTGGTGCATGAGATTAATGTACTCAGAGGGGTCCCTCAGCCCGGCCTGTGCCCTTTTGCAGTCCAGGAGCCCTCAGGGGATTTCCACCTGCCAGCTTACACCCACTCCCCGGGAGATCGGGCCTAAGCTGTCAATCAGACATCCCTCAGCCCTAGAGGCCACAGGGAGTGGGCCTAAGCCACAGTCAGACATCCTTAGCACTGCCAAGGAGGTAGGAGAGGCTTCCGCCACGGCCACTGCACTGGCAGCTGTCCGCCTGGCTTGTGGCTGAGCAGAGCTCCCCCTGTGGGAGTGCACTGACCACCAGGGGGCAGCACCTGCATTGAGGGTCTGCTCCCTGGTGGTCAGTGCACATTATAGTCATAGCAACTGGTTGGTCTGCCATTAGGGTCAATTTGCATTTTACCCTTTTATTATATAGGCTAATGCAACTTTGTTGCATTAGCCTATATAATATACACACAAGAGTAGACCTTTTGCCCTAGCCAGTTTGGCTTAGTGGATAGAACATTGGACTGCAGACTGAAGGATCCCAGGTTGCAGGCTCAGTATCCAGTAGGAAGTGTGCAGGAGGCAGCCCATCAATGATTTCCTCTCATCACTGATGTTTCTATCTCTCTCTTCCTCTCCCTTCCTATCTGAAATTAATAATATGTTTTTAAAAAAATAACAAGAGTAGACCTTTCCATATATACAAGGATATTATGTATAGGGATGTTCACAATAGTATTGCCAGCAATAGCAAAAATCTGACAAGCCCAATTCTCTCCAAAAGAAGGAATAAACTATGGTATACTCATTCATTGAAATATTACATAACTACCAGAATAACTATAGTACCTTCCAACAAAATAGATGATTCTTTAAGATATAACATTGGATTTAAAATAAATCCAAGAATATATAAACATGTTTACTTAGGATTATCTCAGAAGTGTAAGGGGTGAGTGAGAGAAGCAGAGAATTCACTCATTTCCAAGCACCAGCGGACTGGACTTAATCTAACTTAATAATTTATAATAAAAGCAGAAAGATTTATCATACTATAATTTGGGAATTATGGCAAAAGATAAAACCAGTTTGGCTCAGTGAATAGAGCGTCGGCCTACGGACTAAAGGGTCCCAGGTTCGATTCTGGTCAAGGGCATGTACTTTGGTTACGGGCACATCCCCAGTAGGGGGTGTGCAAGAGGCAGCTGATCGATGATTCTCTCTCATTGATGTTTCTAACTCTCTATCCCTTTCTCTTCCTCTCTGTAAAAAAAAAATCAATAAAATATATTTAAAAAATAAGATAAGACTGTAACATTAATAAATGTTTATAATTTTTAATATCTTTACCTCTTTATAGTATGATTTTTAACAGGGCTTTAGAAAACAAGTTTTCTCTCTAACAAAATATACTCAAATGCATATACTACTAAACTTTTAAAATTTAAATACAAACAATAAAGTTTATATACTAAAAAAAAAAAACCCAAACCAATAAAGTTTTATCTCCCATGCTGCCAAATTATGAGACATATTACCTGTCAACCACCTGCTTGTGAACTTGTTTCCACTGTTCCTTGTCTGTATCAGTGCCTAACTCAGGGTGCAGATTCTTTAGGGAGACTCCAGCAACATTCACTCCACTCCATACAGGCACTAAAAAGAACAGTATAAAATTCACTTATTTCCATGCATCAGTCAGCAACAAGTAATTCCGACCCATTTTTCTAATTCTCTTTTATCTGGGGAGTATTACTCCTTTTAGTAGATTCTCAAGACTACACTACCTAAAATAAAAAGAAAAGAAAAAAGAAAAAAGACTGCAATACCTCTACTTTCAGATTTCCATTTGTGTATATTTTATTATAAAAGAATTTCTACAATATTCTAACCTATTTTCCGAACCTACTGGGATGCTTAATAGACATATATTGGAATATAAAGATAGTATAAGATTGTGAGGATAATTATCTTGGCATTAGGAACTGAGAATCTGCAAAAATTATAACATTTCTACCGTGATAATAGCATTTTTTCAACCTCTCCATTTGACTTGACTAACCTTTTCAGGACCAAACAGTGCAGGTCTATTATAAACAGCTAGGATATTAAGTGATTGAGGTCTTAGGTAACATGTCCATGGTTAAGAAGCACAATAAGTTTCATTCCCCATCCTGCATGCCAGGTAAATGTCATGTAAGATGGCTAGAATCTTAACAATTCTTAACATTAAATTACACACAAAAAATAGGTTTCTGAAAATGGTTCTACTTTAATGCATGGATATCTGATTTAGGCTCCAATTTCATAAAACTGTCAATTTTTTTTACACAATCTTTTTGAAAACAGGAAGAGGAAATAAGGCAAGCTTACCACTAGAGTCTCCATGCTCCCCAAGGACCCATCCATGACAGCTTAATGGGTGGACTCCCAGCCTCTCCCCCATCAGGTATCGGAACCGGGCTGAATCCAGATTGCAACCACTTCCAATAACACGGTTTTTGGGAAAGCCGCTTAACTTCCAAGCCACATAGGTCAAGATATCCACTGTGAAGAAAGCATTTAGGCAAAGATACCAGGTGAATGATTCGATAATGATTAGCTACTGAAGATATATGGCGGAGGCCTGCCTGAGCTTTGCTGCTGCCGGTGTAGCCACCGCCTTTGCCTACACCTCCACCATGCTGCCCTACACCAGGGTCTACTTCCTGTTTGAGGTTGCTGCGAGGCCATCACGTGCTGCTGGCTGTCCAGGGCCAGAGCTGGAAGGAAGAGGTAGCGACTAAGGAGACCTGGCTGCAGGGCTCCCTCAAGACCTCTTGTATGTACAGGCAGTTCCCCAAGTTCCAGGGCGGAGACCTCACCCTGTACCAGTCCAGAGTACCCTGTACCACCTAAGCTGCTCCCCTTGGGCCACATGGGAAAGACCTTCAGGAGGCGACCCTGGTAGGCGTAGTGAATGACAGCATGGAGAACCTCTGCTGCAAATACATCACCTTCATCTACACCAACTAACAGGCAGGCAAGAAGGACTATGTGGAGGAACTGTCTGGGCACCTGAAGTCATTTTGAGACCTTGCTGTCCAGAACCATGGGTAACATGATGATCTCCTTCGCAGACTACAACCTGCTGGACTTGCTCCTGAATCACCAGGCCCTGGCCACCACTGCCTGGACTCCTCCCCCCTGCTCTTGGCCCACCTGGCTCGCCTAAGTGCCTGGCCCAAACTCAAGGTCTTCCTGCCTTCCCCCAGCACGAAAACCTCCCATCAACACCATAGGAGACAGGGAGGGCTTGTGCCATCCTCAGCAGGTGGCAGGGGTTGCCTGCCTCCCTTTCCCAAGGACCAATAAAACTTTCAAGAGAGAGAAAAAGACATATGGCCCTGTATGGATCTTGACTATGATCGTGGTCAATGTTTTTGTTAATATTTGTAAACCTCTATAATATGTATAATATAGCAAAATAAGCTGTGCATCAATTGGGAATATCACATTAGCCATAAACATATACCTTAGCTAAGGTCTTCTTGCACCAATAACTAATTTTAAAGTTCCAACTACATTCAGATCCTATTCCCTTTCATGCTTTAAATTTAACTATTTTACAAAAAGAAAAATCCATTCCCAGGAAGAAAGTGAAAGATGAGAAGTAAATATGTATACAGAATATAAAGTATACTATCAGTTTTACTCTAGCTCATCTATTGTTACACAATTAATAACCTCACCTGGATTGGAAACAACAAGCAATTTGCAGTTGGGGCTGTATTTTACAACGTTAGGAATGATGAATTTAAAGATGTTCACGTTTCGCTGGACCAAATTAAGGCGGCTTTCTCCCTCTTGTTGACGAGCCCCAGCTGTGATAATAACCAGCTTGGAGTTTGCAGTCACACTATAGTCTAGACAACAGAAAACAATAATTAGATTAAGGCCTTTAAGAGATTTCCAATACCCTAGCTGGCAAAACATTTTTCCATCAACTTTTTTGGGGGGACAGCGGTTTGTACATGTGGCAGAAAAAAGACCTTACTGCCCCTCAGACTTCTCTCCTTTAGTTTCTGGAGTTTTATCATGGTGACCACTAACATGGATGAAGAGTACATCAATGCCCCCTTCTTGTTTTGGTCACATTGTGACTTTATCTAACTACAACTGGGGGGAGCTGGAAAGAAAAAAAACTTAATAGATTCTCATATCAAATGAGATACATTGCCAAATTTTGGCCACCTGAGCTCAATGCTCATACTCTTCCATACTCCCGCTTCTACTTAAATACTTAATTGTGCTCATATTAGCCCAGGAACAGGATCTCTTAAAAAAAATAAAAAAATAAAAATAAAAAATAAAAAAGCAGAGGCAACCTTACACTTGTTAAGTGCATCTTGTTTCTAGATCCCTATGGCACAGGATGGTTAAGTGAGGGAGAAAGAAAATGAAGGAAGATACCTATCAGGTAAATTGACAATGATTTTCAAGTGTCAAACCACATATTATTATTATGTTAGTGTGCAAAAGAAAGTATGGAAAGTAAATAAATCGAAACTTCAATATCAGTAGGTACCGATGCAAAATTGTTCAAAAGCTCTCTTATCCTGTATAAAAAAACTGTTTGAAGAGCTAGGATTTTGAACTTGATAAACAATTAAGTCTAGCATGGACTACAATATAAGTATGTTGAAATTAACCTTTGCCAGAGACAATCTTTGGTGTTTTAAGGAAAAGGCTGCCATGTTGGAGATCCATCATTTCTCCCTTTAATTTGTCTTCCATGACATCAACAAGAGCAAGTTCATCTGCCAAGTCCTAAAAGACAAAATTTTTCATTAAAATTGCTTCCAAAGGTACCACCTCAAAAATAAAACATTTTCAAAAACAACAATGAAAATCAAACTTGCTACTTCCAAATCTTTAGATGGGCCTGCAAAATTTCCATATTTCTGGCATAGGAGCAATCCCCTATGTTAAAATAGGACACTGGATTGGTAATGTTTAGGATAATGGTCAATTATGTAAAACTGATTGAGCTACTCTTTCAAATTCAGTTTCACACATTGATTTTAGGTTGTTATTTATTAAATAGGTGATAATGACCAGTATTAAGACTTAAAATTAGCTCTAGCAGGTTTGGCTCAGTGGATAGTGTTGGCCTGCAGACTGAAGAGTCCTGGGTTCGATTCTGGTCAAGGGCATATGCCCAGGTTGTGGGTTCGATCCCCAGTGAGGGGCAAGCAGGAGGCAGGAGATCAATGATTCTCTCTCATCACTGATGTTTCTATTTATCTCCCTCTCCCTTCCTCTCTGAAATCAATAAAAATATATATTTTTTAAAAAATACTTAGAATTAAAAAGTGATATTCTGGATCATTCCCTGGTTATGTTTCCATATTATTAAAGAGCTATAACAACTTTACATACATAGGCTTGTGCATTCTAAATTATTCGTGAAAAATATCCTTTCAGTTCAACATATAAAAGTCCTTAGGTGCACTTGACCAGGAGCACCAACAACAGTTTTAATACAAATAGGATATGACTGTCATAACCAAAGAGGTTGTACTAGCTGAGCTGCAGATCTACCCCCAAATCATCTACAGTGTAATGAGTGGTCTGGCAGGTACTCTTACCCACACCTGAATTAGAGGGCACCAATGAAAAAGACCATAGGTAGTGCAGGAAAAACAGATGGTATCCATTTCCAGTGGTGAAAGGCATAAGAGTTGGAATACTTTATGGCCTTTCCTAAAACTCAGATAGAGCAACTAGGTTGCTCTGCAACATCTGCATAGCTCATTTCTGCTTTCAATCCTTTCCTGTTTAGAAGCCAGAATTCATAATGTCATTTATTTATTTATATTAAATTCATTGGGGTCCCATTCTATATAATAAAACCCTAATATGCTAAGTGTCCAGTCATCCATTCAACCATTCAAAGCTTAATATGCTAATGATATGCTAAGGCCGTTCAACTGCTCACTATGATGTGCACTGACCACCAGAGGGCAGACAGTCAACTGATAAATGAGCTTGTTGCTGGGGTCCAGCCAATCCAGACTAAGCCAGATGGGCCTGACAGGCCAACCTTCTGCACTCCTCCCCAGCCCCAATCATGCACCGGTGGGGTCCCTTGGCCTGGCCTGTGCCCTCTCACAATCCGGGACCCCGCGGGGGATATTGGAGAGCTGGTTTCGGCCTGATCCCGCAGGCCAGGCTGAGGGACCCAAATGATGCACGAATTTGTTGGTTAATAAGATCATAAGATTTTAAGTGTACATTTCTATGATACATGATCTATATATTCTATTGTGTGCCTACCACTCTTATTAGGAACTCAAAATCTGAACTTAAAAAATACTTTAATACTATAAGTTGCTTCAATTTCGGTTTTATATAAACCAGGCTTGACTATAGTAAAAAATGCTTTTTATTCATTCACACATTTTTTTCCTTCTAATTAAACTTTAGCTTCCAAAATTAATATTAAAATTGCTCTCCAAGTAGAGGGCCAATAGTGACTTACATGGGAGCAAGACTTAAGATTTCCCAGTCAAAAATAAAATTTAAAAATGATTATTAATTTTTTTAGATAGGGAAGACATTTATTTTTGTTGTTTTGTTCGTTTTCGTTTTGCTTTTTTTTTTTGAGACTGTCTGAAATTTCTATAACCTTGTTCTGAATGCAGCAGAGCAAGGCCTCAAACCATTCCAAAATGTTCTCGCAAGCTCTGTAGGAATGCACAGGGTCACTGCAGACCCAAGCACGCTGGAGGCTTGCAGAAAAAAATTTTTTTAAATAAAATAAAATAGTAAAAAAATAAAAACATCCATTCTCTGACAAAAAAAAAAAAAGATTTCCCACATTCAGTGTGACTTTCATTTTATCACAGTATATATCATTTCACTTCAAAAATTACCTTAACATAATTTTAGCTTGTTTAAAAGGACTCTTTCATTTGTAAGCAATTCATGCATGTTAATACAGCAGAGTGAATTTAAGAAACTGTGTTGCTAGCCTAATAACCTTGATTTTTTTGTTGTTCTGATATCCTTTTGGCATAGCATATTTCAAAAGTTTATTTCACATAAAGTTCTTTGAAATGAGTGCATGAACCTCAATATTTGTATATACAATGTGATCATGCAACTATTAGGGAGTGGAGGAGTGTGTGGGGTCAAGTTATCCTTTCCCTCCGGAATAATGGACTCTCACTCACCTTCATCAAGATACTGATGGCACAAGCCATGCCAACAGCACCAACCCCAACGACTGTAATCTTATTCTGGGGGCTCTGTTCTTCCTTAAGAAGGTTCACAATCAGCTGATCCTTGAGTGTTGCCATTTTGGACTTGGAACCAAAAGGAACCTATGGGGATGGGGAAACATGAACTGTCATCGCACACTTATTAAACCAAAAGATGTTCGGAAATAGCTTATTTTCACTTCCTTTTGGGGTACGTGTCAATCACCAGGAATGACTAAAAAGGGGGAAGAGGAAAAACCCAAAGATAGCCAGAGGAGAGTTTGAAAGGCCTAAGGCCAGGATCTGGCCTAGTCTGGCCTGGCCTGGCCTGGCTAGGAAAACTTGGGTGTGGAAAAACCTCACCTTCGCATGTATAACTAATATTGACGTCTGAGTGTAAGTACGGCCTCCTGAGTGTTCAGCCATCTTGCTCTTTTAATCCCAAGCTGGGCCGGCCTTTCCCCAGACAAGATCACTAAGAGCGGTCTACTCCAGAGGTACGTGCAAAAAGTACCCTTAACTGCTTAACTGCCTCCTACCCAACGGGGAGGCGGCGAGGCGGGCAGGGAGCTCTGCTCATGCGCGCTCACTCATCTCCCTCCCCTCCCCCCCTTCCAGGGCAGATCAGACTGACTGCTGGGTCCCAGGCCGGAGCCCTCGGGTAGCAACACCCAGACCCGGAAGATTAGCAGCTGTCCCCTCCCCCACCCGCCAGGCGCTTGCGCATTTCAAAGAGCTGGGAATGGACTAGAGGTCCAGAGGCCGAGGGCTGCAGAGAGGTGGGTCAGCGGAAAAGATTAGAAACTATCCCGCCCTTAGGGTCAGAGGGCGCCAGCTCGGAGTCAGACTTTGGACTTAGAGCTCCGAAGCAGGCATGAGCCACGTGAAGCCCGGCTGACAGCCTCCTGGGCCTGGCGACAGCCTCCTGGGCCTGGCGTAGGGCCAGAGCCAGACTCTGCATCCCAATATCAGGGGCTGCTCACCAGCCCTGCAGGGAGGTGCCCGGGGTGGCTTCTGCAGTGACCCTTGTTGCAAAGGAGCGAGGCCTGGTATAAGGAAATATTTTGTCAGCACAGGAAGTGAGGAAATAGCTTCAGAGGCCTGGGGCCTGGAGTCCTACAAGTGTTCGTACTTGGTGGAACCCTCCATTTCCAGAGCTTGGGAGGAAACACACATTAAGCTCTGTTACTCTAACCCGGCCCTGCATTCACTGGATCTAGTAGTTTTGACATTGTTCCAAAGGGCAAATATCCAAGAGGGCTTTCACAGGCAAGTAGCCCGGGGTCGCCAGGCTGGAATCGGGTCTCTCCTTACAAACCCCTGCTATTTCTGGACAGCCTTGGGAGGTTCCTGCAGCCTGGCAGGGGGAAGGGAGAGTTCTGCCTCTCTCTAGAGACTTCCTGGCTCCACCAACAAACATCTAAGCTCCGGGCTTCAGCGCTTCCTCCCAAGTGGGGACACGTGTGGGTGAGGAGGAAGCTCTGCAGAAAGAGGGACTACTCCCCAACTCTGCCACCTACTGTGACCTTACAGATGCCCCCATCCTCTCCCAGGCTCCGGGTGGTTCTCCTCTCCATGGACCATGCGGGAGGGCTGACGCACGGTGCTAAGCATAGGAAATGAGATTGGCGCAAAGAGCGCTCTGCAAGCTACAGGCAGCGGCCACTCCCAGGGAGCCCACGTCTCCAGAGCCCCGGGGTTAAAATCCGACTCGGGAAGGGGCTGCTCAGCAACTTCCCGGCTTCCAAGAACCCCACCCAGGCTGCTGAGGCTTTCTTTGGCTCCATGGGGTCCGGAACCGCACCTCGAGTCCTGCGCCGTTGGCCGAGTTCCAGCCCAGAGGTTCACCCCACCCTTCAGACCCCTCCTCGTCCTGCATCCACCTGGACTTCCCGCCCCAGATTAGGGGCGGCCACCTCCTGGGTACCCCAGCCAGGCTGGATGCCATAGTGCCCACTGAGAGCAAAAGCTGCGTGCCCATAGTGCCCATTTAGAGCAAAAACCACCGCCCAGGTCCCCCCACTAGGCTTCTGGAAAGCAGCGCCTACATCCCCAGGGAGCAGGGACTTGCTCAGCCGCTAAGCCAGGCCACCGAGGCCCGGGCCGGCTCGCTTGTCCGCCCCATCGGGCGCAGAGCGCGCCGGGCCCTACCGTACCGGGAGCGCACGGGGGGGCGGCGGGCGACGGCGGCGAACGGCGAACGGCGAACGAGTGGGATCCGGACTTGGCGGCCGCAGCTCCGGTACTTTGAGCCTCGCTCGGGAGGGGCCTTAAATGGAAGGGTGGGGCTGACGTCAGGGGGGCGGGGAGCGAGGGAGCGGGGAGCCCGGCGGACGTGCGGGAACCCACGTGTGGGTCGGGCTGGGGGCGGGCTCCCGGCCGGGCCGGGCGGGCGGGGAAGAGGCCCTGGCGGCGTGCGCAGCCAGACGGACCCCACAAGCAGACCCACGTGCGCTGGCCGCCCAGAGGCGCTTGGCCCTACGATCACAAAGACCCCAAAGACCCCAGCCGGAGCCACCAGCTGCAGTCAGTTCTACCCTCTATTTCCTCCTCCGTAAAATGTGGAGTTTGCCCACAGAGAAGGCTTGATTTGAATCTTGGTTTCCCTGAGCCCAGGTCATCTGGCATGAGATAATCACTCGGCAACTATTTGTTGAAAGAAAACGCCTACCATGGCGTCAGTCTTTTTTTTCTCACCTAAATCGAATGATCTCCAAAAGCTGACCTGCTTTTCCCCTGCTGCTAAACCGTCAAAGCCCCACACAGCTCACAGCGAGGACCCAGCCTCTACGCTCTGCTCTCCCTACTGGCCTACCCAACCCAGCACCTAGCATTCCAACCACACCCAAGAGCTGTAAACGTCATTTGTTTGTTTTTATGGTTTTGTTTTTAAACGTGTTATTTTTACCACCATCCCAAGCCTTTGCTCAGGCCGGTTCTTTTGCCTGGTCTGCCTTCCTCTTCCTTCTCCTCTTTAAACTACCAATCTCCCGGTCCGCCCCCTAACCGCCCCACCCCATACACCCACAGCTTCGGTACAACCCTCCTATCTGCTTCTACCTCACTGGTCTGAGCATCCCTCAAACCCTCTGGCAGCAAAGGTGTGTGGCTCTGCTCTCCTACCTGACAGTGAGTCCAAGGACATAAGTGAGTCTATTTCCTCCCTGCACCTGGGGCATCACCTAAGCACCCAGCTCCAAGAACAATCCATACATTGTGAGTTTCTTGGTTGTGAAGGGAAGATTCTAACCTCATCTCTAGAAAAGGCAGGCATCTCTCTACCATGTTCTAACAGTGTTCCCATCACTCTAAGGCCCAGAAACCTAGGCGCTCACAGAAACGCACAGCTGGCAGAGCTGCGGGCCAGCCACAGGTTCTCTAGGGTTCCCCAGGGCCGGGCAGATTGCAACAGTGTCTGTGGTTCCCCCAATGTTTGCAACAATGTCCTCATCCAGTTAGGGCTGGGCCCCTGCCTGCCAAGATGACCACAGCTGCTGGGAAGAGGAGGCCAGCGCTCAGAGAGCGGGTATAGGCTAAGGAGACAGGTAGGAACCCTCACCAGAAGGGCTCTGGGATGACCTCTGAAGATAATCCGGGCAAGAAGTTTGCTGTCCCCTAAATCAAAACACTTAACAATAGCTCACTCCAAGCACACTTCCCTTTTCTTACAGAACAATAAATAGCCTCTAACTCTGCAAATATGAACAAAATACCATTTACTAAGCACCTCCTATGTGTCAGGCAGCAAGATAGGCAATCTCCATGCTCATCTTCACTTTAATTCTTTGTAGCAGTCATAATTATCTCCATTTTTTTCAGATAAGGAAACTGAGGCTAAGAGAGATTGATGACTTTGCCAAGGTCATAGAACTAATAAGATTTCAGCAGGTACTTAACCCAGGACTGACTTCACTCCAAAGTGTGTGATTTTTTTTCTTTATATGATGTCCCTCCCTGACTCCTTGCCTCCCCACTCCACAAAGGTGAAGAAATTATGTAGGGGGGTTCAAGCCAGACCCATCTTCAGAAAGTTGTTTTCAGTGAGAGACAGTGGGTATCAGTGGGCATCTCTGATCTTTTCCCATCACCAGGTGGGAATTATACCACCAGCTTTCCTGAGACTCCAGTTAACAGATAACGACAGATCCGCCATAATCATCCCACGGGCCAATTCTTTACATTAAATCTCATTACACACACACACACACACACACACACACACACACACACTCTTTCTCTGAAGAACCCTGACTAATGAAATCCAAAGGAAGAAATTTCTGTAGTAAAGCCAAAGCAGAGGGAGGTTGGGGGGGATAGGGTGGGTTAGGAAACACTGTTTCAAAGGGCAAAACAGCCTTCTCAACCTAAGGGCTCCTTGTTGAGATGGGTGTCCTCTTTAAAAGAGAAAATCTCATAAAACTGGTTTGATCAGGGTATCCTTGGCCTCAGAGAATGGGTGCTGCCCAACACAAGATTTTTCTAAAATGGACCAACAATGCTGTCCACCCAAAACAGTGCTGATTCAGTCCTCCATTCCCTGTTTGTCACACTCCTCTTCAAGATCGTTCAGTGGTTCCTCATTCCATTTTATTCCAGAATAAAATCCCAATTCCTTGGAAAGGCATGCAAGGCCCTCCACGATCCAGTGCCCACATGCCCACATGCCCTCTTGTCTTATCTCCTATTTGCCTTCGTGCTTTCTATATGCCAGTCCCAAGGCTCCTTACCACATTGCCCAAATATGCCAGGTACATCCACCTAGGCTGTTCCTTCAACCCGAATGTTCTCCCTCTTGCCACCATCTCTGTTCACCCAAACCCCACATCTCCATAGGCCAAATACTGTTCCTCGGGCTTGATATTAAATTGATTCTTATAACTGTGCATCTCTTCCTCACTGTCAGCTCCTAATGGACAGAAATACTCTCATTTGTCTCCATATCCCCAGCACATGCACTTATTTGTTTAATAAATGAATTTTGAATTATGTGCCCGTTATGTAAATGGTACTGTGTTAGGTGGTGGGAATACAAAAAAATGAGTGAGACAAATTAACAAGCCTTCAAAGACTTACCGTTTAGTGGGGGGAGACCAACAGCATCCCCTCAGTAGTTAAAATGCAAGATAGAATGTAACATTGTCACAACAGAAGGAGAAAAATGACTCTAGCATTTAGAGGAGAGAGGGGTTCTTGGCTGGAGATATCAGAGAAGGCTTCTTGGAAAAGGTAGCATCTGAGCTCAGCCTAGACAAAGGTTAATGAAGATCCGGTGTTGAGAAAGCAGAGCACACAGCATGAATAAATGCAGGGAGGCAAGAAATTTAAGATGTGTCAGGTGCATCTTGAGCTCTAAATGCCAGGATAAGACATTGACAAGCTCAGAACATACACAGCTCCAACCACATGGGCATAGAACACATTTCTCT